TGTGTGTGTGTATACTGGGATTTGAACCCAGGCTCTTATACTCTTGCTTTGCTTTTTTGCTCAATGCTGGCGCTGTACCACTCAAACTACACCTAAACTTTGGGCTTTTTGCTGGTTCACTGGAGATAAGAATCTCATGGATTTTTCTGTCTGGGCTGGCTCAAATCTCCATTTCCACAGTAGTGAGGATTATAGGCATGCACTACCAGTACCTGGACTGAGGTGATTTGGTGATTTTTGTGAGGAAAGTGGTAATCTAGCTTTTCCTAACAACTTGAAAATAACCCTATCTGCTTTAATTTCTGAAATAATTTACCTTTATTATCAGAAGGGGAGAGTGAGAAGACATTGTGCTCTCATGATTATTTAGTCATTGGTAGAGTTGGTTGTTTTCTTCAGTGTTTACCTCGTGTCAGATATTCTATTTGGTTAATTCTATTAATTGTGTGTACTATCTTAATTTCATGCAGGAGGAAATAGGCAGAAAAAAGCAGCTGGTTTGTAAGTGGTAGATGTCAGGCCTCAGTCTGTGTGTTCTGTTTCATATGCTAGGCTTTCATTCACTGTTTTATAACATTGCTAAGTAAAGAATGAGATATTTTACAGGGAAACCAAGAATTCATTTATTATTAGTCCAGTTTATTAAACTTGATTTTATGTTTTCTTTTTTTTTTTTTTTTATGGTGTAGGACATGCTGTGATATATAGGATGGCCTGGAATTATAGAACCCAGGTTTGCCTTAAACTTGAGATCTTCCTGTGTCCACCTCCCTAGTATTAGGATTACAAGTGTGTGTCACCAAGCGTAGCTTTAGTTTTTCAATTAATTAATGTATTTATTGTGCTAGTCCTGGGGCTTGATCTCGGCCTTGGTGCTGTCTCTGAGCTGTTTTGCTCAAAGCTAGTGCTCTCTACTGCTTGAGCCAAAGCTCCACTTCAGGCTTTTTAGTAATTAATTAGAGATTAGAATCTCATGGCTTTTCTTGCCTGGGCTGGCTTTGAACCAAAATCCAAGATAGCTAGGATTATAAGCATAAGCTACCGGCTCACACTTTTTTTTTTTGTCAATCATGGGGTTTGAACTCTGGCCTGGGTGCTGTCCCTCAGCTCTTCAGTTCAAGGCGAGCACTCTACCACTTGAGCCACAGCTCTACTCCCAGTTTTCTGGTAGTTAAAAATTGGAGATAAGAGTCTCATGGACTTTCCTTCCTGGGCTGGCTTTGAACTGTAGTCCTCAGATCTCAGCTTCCTAAGTAGCTAGGATTACAGGTGCCTGGTGAGCCTAGATTATTATTATTATTTTTTTTTGTCGGTCGTGGGCCTGAACTCTGGGCCTGGGCGCTGTCCTTGAGCTCTTCAGCTCAAGGCTAGCGCTCTATCACTTGAGCCACAGTGCCACTTCTGGCTTTTTCTGCTTATGTGGTGCTGAGGAATGGAACCCAGGGCCTCATGCATGCAAGGCAAGCACTCTACCACTGAGCCACCTTCCCAGCCCCTAGATTATTTTTAAGGTAGAGTCTTACCTTCTATGTGGGCTTCTGTCCTATTACTAGGCTTTCCCATGTCACTGGCAAAGACATGGAGGAGTCTGAAAAACTTTTTTTTTTTTTTTAATGCTTAATCTGGCTTTTAATCATGATCCTCCAATCTACTCCCCCAAGTAGCTAGGATTACAGACTTGATTCATGTTAAAATTATAAGTATGTTAATTGGAATTTCAAATACAGAGAGGTACTGCAGTTTGAGAATGTTTAAATTATCCTTGCTAGTCTGGTACTTTGCCCTTGAGTTTTTTTTTACTTTTTGTTTTTGTAGAATTCTGGATTCTAAATGTGGTCTTTTCTACATAGGGCTTAAGGAGCTGTCACAGTGTTTAGTTAGTTCCTGAGAGATAACCTTGACATTTCATTAAAGCTTATTTTGAGGTTTTCTGTTACAGTAAAAAATCGGGGAAGTAGAGATGTAGATTAGGTGGTAGAGCTCCAGCCTTGAGTGGAAAAGCCAAGCATGAGTGAGAGACCCTGAGTTCAAGCCCCAGTATAGTGTGAGTCTGTGCTCGCGCGCGCGCACACACACACAAATTGGTTTAAGTATAATTTTTTTTTTTTTGGTAGGTTGTGGGGCTTGAACTTAGGTCTGGGGCTGTCCCTGAGCTCTTTTGCTCAAGGCTAGCATTTTACTACTTTGATCTACAGCACCACTTCCAGGTTTTTGAGTGTTTTATTGGAGATAAGAGTCTTACGGGGACTTTGCTGCTCAGGTTGGCTTTGAACTGCAATCCTCAGATCTCAGTCTCCTGAATTGCTAGCATTATAGGCATGAGCCACCAGCACCTGACTCTGTTAAGCACTTTTTTTTTTCCCCCCAGTCCTGGGGCTTGAACTCAGGGTCTGGGCACTGTTCCTGAGCTTCTTTTGCTCAAGGCCAGCACTCTACCACTTGAGCCACAGCATTATCTCTGGCTTTTTTCCCAGTTTATGTGGTGCTGAGGAAACAAACCCAGGACTTCATGCATGTTAGGCAAGCGCTCTACCACTAAGCCACATTCCCAGTCCTGTAAAGCAGTTTTTATGCTGGGCACAGGTAACTCAATCCTAGCTACGGTGGAGGTTGAAATATGAGGATGATAGTTCAAAACCAGCCTGGGCAAGAAAGTCTCTGAGACTGTGTCGTCTGTCCATCCATCTGTCTTCCCCCTTATTCCTCGCCCCCCCCCCCCCCCCCCCCCTGCAATGGTCCTGGGGCTTGCACTCTGGGCCTAGACATTGTCCTTGAGTACTACTTGAGCCACAGCCTTACTTCTGGCCTTTTTGAGTAGTTCATTGGCAATAAAAGTCTCATGGACTTTCCTGCCTTGGCTGTCTGTGAACTGCAGTCCTCAGATCTCAGCCTCCTAAGTATATAGGATTACAAGGTATGAACTACTAGTGCCTGGCTCCTATCTCCAGTTAACCAACAAAAAGCCTGAAATGGAACTGTGGCTCAAATGATAGAGTGCCAGCCTTGAGTGAAAAGTGAAGCAGGAGTGTGAGGCCCCGAGTGAGGGCAAGCTCTAGAACAGACAACAAATAAAACATCTATATCTACTTGTAATACTCAAAACTGTTAGTAAATACTTTTCTCTTGAAATTTCCTTCTAAAAGTTTCTCACCCTTGCAAGTATGACACAAGTGACTTTGCTATTGTTTTTAACTTCTGAAATCTGCTGACAGGGTCGGTGGTGAGGTTAAGTCCTCTGTTTAGCATTTTTATTTTTATGTGCCAGGCTGAAGACTTGAAGATGCTAATCAGACACATGGAGCACTGGGCACATCGGCTATTCCCTAAGCTGCAGTTTGAGGATTTTATTGACAGAGTTGAATGCCTAGGAAATAAAAAGGAAGTTCAGGTAAGTGCCGTGATTATTGAGAATGTCATTTACAGTGCCAGATAGCACAAGGATACACTGACTTGAGGCTAAATTACTATCTGGGGTGGGGAGGGAAGGTCGTGGTTTGAAATCATTCCTGACGGAGAAGAAAGTTAATAGTTTCTTCAAGAACAACTCTTTAGAAACTAGGAAATAAGTAAATGATCATTCCTCTCTCTACATTATTATATTATTTTTTGTTTGGTTGTGGGGCCTGAACTCTGGGCTTGGGCGCTGTCCCTCAGCTCTTCAGCTCAAGGCTAGCACTCTACCACTAGAGCCACAGCACCACTTCCGGCTTTTTCTGTTTCTGTGGTGCTGAGGAATCTGCCATTGAGCCAACTTTGTAGCCCCTCCCTACATTATTGATGAAAATACAGAAATATCTTCTTGTTTTCAGACCTGTTTAAAACGAATTCGACTTGATCTCCCTATTCTACATGACGATTTTGTTAGCAATAATGGTAAGTATGTAAGTTTACTTTTATTTTATTATTTTTTATTTTTATTTTTTTAAATTGACTTTTTTTTTATTGTAAAAATGCCATACAGAGGGGTTACAACTACATGAGCAAGGTAGTGAGTACATTTCTTGTCAAGCATTGTTGCCTCCTCCTTTGTTTCCCCTTACCATCCCTTCCCATCTCCCTCCCCCCTCCCCCTTTCCCCCTCCTTCCCCCCCTCCCAAAGTTTACTTTCAAAACAACTTGGCTTTAGAAATTGGTCTAGTTGGGGTTGGTAGCATCATGGAATTGAGTTTTTTGTTTTTTTTTTAATGGTCATGGGGCTTGAGCTGGTGCTGTCCCTAAGTTTTTGTGCTCAAGACTAGCACTCTACCACTTTGAGCCACAACTCTGCTTTTGGTTTTCTGGGGGTTAATTGGAGATAAGAGTCTCATGGACTTTCCTGCTTGGGCTGGCTTAGAACCACAATCCTCCTCAATAGCTAGAATTATAGGCATGAGCCACCAGCACCTGACTGATGGAACTGTGTTCTTAGTTTATGTTGTATATGTCGTTAAAGTACATTCAAGAGGAACAAGCTAAAATGCTTTAGTAAGTCTAGAACGCCCATGTTTGAAATTTGTTAAAATTAATCTGAAAGATAAGGGTTCAATGTCATTAGGCATGTTATATATAATTTTATTTTAATGTTAGTACTGGGGCTTGAACTCAGGGCCTGGGTGCTGTCTTCTAGCTTATTTTGCCTAAATCTGGCACTTTACCATATGAACTACTATTCTTCCTGTATCTTGCTGGTTAATTGTAGATAAGAGTCTTATAGACTTTCCCCAGGCTGACTTCAAACAGTGATCCTCAGATCTCAGCCTTCCGGGTAGCTAGGATTACAAGTGTGAACCATTGGATTCTGGCTGTAAAAACATATTTTAGCTCTAGACCATGAGCTTTTTACAACTGCTGACCCACTGATCTTCTATAAGGCCCATTAAAACAAAAATACATGTGAAGATACAGTTTTCCTAAGCATATACACCATTGAAAATAGTGGCTCTGTGGTAATGTAATTGGCTGAAGAAAATTTGCATTTCACTCCGGGTGCATCCCCCGGAAACAGTGAGAATGAGATCTATGTGGCTGTCTTATGCTGGTTGCATTTGTCAGATGTTCAATGCAGACCACAGACAGTCACACACATCAAATACGGTTCCTGCCGACAGGGTCTGCATAGTCATCAGATCTTCTGTGCGATGGTTCCATACATCCCCTTTGTTTTATTTTTATAACTTTTAGTAGATACAAGGGACAATATGGTTGTCCGATAATCCCTCAAAGTCATTGAGTTGAAGGAGGATGCTTTAAATAATTGGGGATTTTAGCAAGGCGCCGGTGGCTCACACCTGTAATCCTACCTACTAAGGAGGCTGAGATGTGAGGATCATAATTCAAAGCCAGCCGGGGCAGGAAAGGCTGAGAGACTTTTTTTTGGGGGGGTCAGTTGTGGGGCTTGAACTCTGGGCTTGGGCGCTGTCCTTGTGCTCTTCAACTCAAGGCGAGTGCTCTACTGCTTGAGCCACAGCACCACTTTTGGTTTTCTAGTGGTTTTATTGGAGATAAGAGTCTCCTGGAGCCAGGTGCTGTTGGCCATGCCTGTAATCCTAGCTACTCAGGAGGCTGAGATCTGAGGATTGCGGTTAAAAACCAATCTGGGAAGGAAACTTCGTGAGACTCTTGTCTCCAATAAAAATCACCAGAAAACTGGAAGTGGCACTGTGACTCAAGAGTACTTGCCTTGTGCTGAAGAACTGAGGGACAGCACTCAGGCCCAGAGTTCAAGCACCACAACTGACCAAAACAAAAGTGTCTCGAGGACTTTACTGCCTGGGCTGGCTTTGAGCCGCAATCCTCAGATCTCAGCCTCCTAAGTAGCTACGATTACAGCTGTGAGCCACTGGTGCCCGTCATCGAGAGATTCTTATCTCCAATAAACCACCAGAAAACTGGAAGTGGCACTGTGGCTCAAGTGGTAGAATGCTCGCCTTAAGCTGAAGAGCTCAGGGACAGCACCCTAAGCCCAATGACCAAAAAAAAAAATCTGGGATTTGCTAATGGCAGAGGATAGTATATGTAATAAGAGTTATTGCAGTGTTAAATACCATTGTCTAGGCCACTGGTTAGTGTTATTAGCACTTTTTGGACTGCCTACTATGTGTTAAAAGTTCATGGATAAAAGGTGAATCAAATCTGGGCACTTGTGGCTTATGCCTTAATCCTAGCTACTCAGGAAGCTGAGATCGGAGGATTGTGATTCAAAGCCAGCTCAGGCAGAAAAGTCCCTCAAACTCTTTTTTTTTTTTTTTTGTCGGTCGTGGGGCTTGAACTCTGGGCCTGGGCGCTGTCCCTCAGCTCTTCAGCTCAAGGCGAGCGCTCTACCACTTGAGCTACAGCGCCACTTCCGGTTTTCTGGTGGTTTATTGGAGATAGGAGTCTCACGGTCTTTCCTGCCCGGGCTGGCTTTGAACCGCGATCTTCAGATCTCAGCCTCCTGAGTAGCTAGGATTACAGGCGTGAGCCACCAGCACCCGGCTCCCTCAAACTCTTTATCTCCAGTTTACCACCAAAATAAATAGAGCTGTGGCTCAAGTGGTAGCCTTGTGCAGAGAAAAGCATAGGATACAGGACTCTAGGCATTCACAACACAGTAAGGGCAAAGGAAGATACTGTTAGTGGAGGAACACAAAGGTCTCAATGCCTATATGCCTCTGATCAGAAAAAGTAATATATAGAGACTGGGAATGTAGCTTAGTGGTAGAGTGCTTACCTAGCATGTATGAAGCCCTGGGTTGGATTCCTCAGCACCACATAAACAGAAAAAGCCAGAAGTGGCGCTGTGGCTGAAGTGGTAGAGTGCTAGCCTTGAGCAAAAGAAGCTCAGAGACAGTGCCAAGGCCCTGAGTTAAGCCCCAGGACTGGCAAACAAAACAAAACAAACAAACAAAAAAACCCCACACAATTAAAAAACCCCATGTGTTGGGACTGGGAAGGTGGCTCAGTGGTGCATGAATGAGGCCCTGGGTTCGATTCCTCAGCACCACATAAGCAGAAAAAGCCAGAAGTGGCGCTGTGGCTCAAGTCATAGAGTGCTCGCCTTGAGCTGAAAAGCTGAGGGACAGCGCCCATAGTTCAAGCTCCACTACCTACCAAAAAACAAAAACAATACAAAAGAAAACAAAATGTGTTTTTCAGAGCCAGACACTGTGGCTCATGCCTGTAATCCTAATTTTTTTTTTGTCAGTTGTGGGGTTTGTACTTGGGTCCTGGGTACTGTCCCTGAGCTCTTTTGCTTAAGTCTAGTCACTTTGAGCCACAGCACCACTTCCGGTTTTCTAGTGGTTAACTGCAGCTACAAGTCTCAAAGACTTTCCTGCCCAGACTGTCTTTGAACCATGATCCCCAGATCTCTGCCTCCTGAGTAGCTAGGATTACAGGTGTGATCTACTGACTCCCAGCTGTAATCCTAACTATTAAGGAAGCTAAGATCTTAGGATGGAAGTTTGAAGCCAGCCCAGACAGGAAAGTCCGTGAGATTCCTGTCTCTAATCAGCAAAAAGCCAGAAGTGGAACTCAAGTGATAGAGTCGCGTCTTCAGTGAGACTGCTAAGAGGCAGCATCTCAACACCAAGTTTAAGCCCCAGTACTGACACCAAAAAAAAAAAAAAGTATTGTTTTCATGTACGTGTGCAAGTATGCACAATACATGTTTACATACAAGAATGCATGAAAGGGCTGGGAAGGTGGCTCAGTGGTAGAGTGCATGCCTTGCATGCCAGAGGCCCTGGGTTCGATTCCTCAGCACCACATAAGCAAAAAGAAAAGAGCCGGAAGTGGCGCTGTGGCTCAAGTGGTAGAGTGCTAGCCTTGAGCTGAAGAGCTGAGGGACAGCGCCCAGACCCAGAGTTCAGGCCCCATGACTGGACCCCCAAAAAAAAAAAAAAAGAATGCATGAAACCTTTAAGCATTTATTGGCCCACATATGACGTAGTTCATGTATATTTCAAATAATATTTCCATTTGACTAAACATGCCTCTTTAATGTGATGTATAAAGACTTCTGCGTGTGTGAATCAAGTATGATTTGCAGTGTTCTCATATCTTATGAAATGTTTCTTCAGGACAGGCTTTTGCCACTTGTAACTGTTTTCACTGAAAAATTGCATGAGCTCACTCCAGATGTGCTGTTTCTTTTCTACTGCAGAGGAAGTAGGGCAAAATAGTAATCTTGATGTACCAGCTGAGGAACCAGATCCCTTTCTGCCAAATTCACCTGCAAGTGAGAAGTTTGCTTCCGGGTCAAGTCAAAGCCTAACAGAAGAGCAACAACAAAGAATTGAGAGAAATAAACAGCTGGCCTTGGAACGGAGGCAGGCGAAGCTGCTAAGTAACAGTCAGACCCTCGAAAATGGTAAATTCTGTGCAGGTTTTATGAGCTGTGGTTAATGCATTGAGGGCATGTTGGGAATTTTAATTTCTCTGTCCCCTCAAGTAAAATCTAAAAGTAGAAAAATGTGACCCTAAGTTTACATTTCAGAGAGAGTTTCTTTGTATGCTGGTTGGAATCCTCAAAGAATGTATGGAATCTAAGATTTTTTTTTGGTGGTTTTTGTTTTTTGTTTTTCTTTTTTTGGGTTCCGTCGTGGGGCCTGAACTCTGGGCCTGGGCGCTGTCCCTCAGCTCTTCAGCTCAAGGCTAGCACTCCACCACTTGAGCCACGGCGCCACTTCTGGCTTTTTTCTTTTTGCTTATGTGGTGCTGAGGAGTCAAACCCAGGTCCTCAGGCATGCAAGGCAAGCGCTCTACCACTGAGCCACCTTCCCAGCCCTTTTTTTTTTGATAACTGAATACCTCTTAAGATTGTGAGTCTTTCCAAAATATTCTTTCCTTACTCTGTAAAGCATGCAGTGTATTTTTAGAATCGTAATTATGAAAATTTATTGATATTATACCCTCATCACAAATATAATGCCAATGCGGAGCTATTTGCTGTGATAAAAATAGGTACTAAAATGTTTTTTATTGCATTATGGCACTTTTATTGTGAGCTGCACTTTGGGTGGTCCTTTGCTTATCTGTACCTTATGACTTCTAAAGCTGCCTTAAATCTTGCTGTTTCTGTGGTGGCTCAGGCTAGTCATTCCAGAACTTGAGAGGTGAGGTGAGGTGAATAAGAGCGTAAGGGCAGCCTGGGCTTATATGCAGCATGACCCTATCTTAAAAGGTCAAAGGTGGAAAAAAATTAATGTTTCATTTGAATGAAGTAAGATCCTTCTTTGTGGACTAGGAAGTTGGCTCAGTGGTAGAGTGCTTGCCTTGCATGCATGAGGCTCTGGGTTTGATTCCTCAGTACCACCACATCAGCAGGAAAAAGCCGGAAGTAAGTGGTGCTATGGCTCAAGTGGTAGAGTGCTAGCCTTGAGCTGAAGAGCTGAGGGACAGCGCCCAGGTCCAGTTCAGCCCCCCCATGACTGGAAAAAAAAAAAAAAAGAAAGAAAAACAAGATCTTTCTTTGTTATCTACTTTTTTTTTTTGTGAATCTTGGGGCCTGAACTCAGGGCCTGGGCACTGTCCTGAGCTTCTTTTGCTCAAGGCTAGCACTCTACCACTTGAGCCACAGTGCCACTTCCAGCCTTTTCTGTTTATGTGGTACTGAGGAATGGAACCCAGGGCTTCATGCATGCTAGTCCAGCACTCTACCACTGAGCCACTTTCCCAGCCCCTGTAATTCACTTGTTTCTTTTGAAATAGAAAAAATAAAAAAGAATTGTGGGAAGTAAATATTTTAAAACAAGTTCCAGGTTTGGGAATGTAGCCTAGAGGTAGAGTACTTCCTAGCAATCAGTACCACATAACAGAAGAGATCGGAAGGGATTCTGTGGCTCAAGTGCTAGGGTACTACCCTTGAGTAAAAGAAGCTCAGGGACAGGCCCTGAGTTCAAGCCCTAGAACTGGCAAAAAATAAAATAAAAACAAATTCCATACACTATAACAAAATTCCCAAATGAATGTTATGACATTATCATGACTTTTTCAGTTAAAATGAAAATGTGTTTGTGTGTATGTGTGTGTGTATGTACAGGCGCTGGTAATGGGCCTTGAACTCAGGGCGTAAGAACTATCCCAAAACTTTTTTACTCAAGGCTGGTACTCTACTACTTGGGCTTTTGATGCTTAATTGGAGATGGGAGTCTCAGATTTGTCTGTCTAGGCTGACTTTGAACTATGATTCTCAGGTATCATCCTCCTGAGTAGCCAGGATATGTGTGTTAATCTGCTTCTAGCTCAAAATAAATTTAATGTTTATCTTTACAAATGGATATTTTATTAGTACCATGTGAAAAATAACATGGAGATAGACTTAGCAGCTCATCTTTTATTTATAACCTGAAATTTGCCCGAATAAAAATAAGTACCTTGGAATCTTTACTCCCATTTCCTGTGAGGGGAGCAGGAAATGTCCCCATCCCCCTTTTATTTTTTTTAATTCTTTTTCATTGTTGGTTTGTTCAAGACTGCGCCTTGAACTAGATGTCTTAACACTTTCATTCCTAGGCTGACATGTGACATGGAGCCCTGCCTCCAACCTCTTCACTTCTCTTTCTGTTTTATTCTGGTATACCAAAATAAATCCTTGCTAAAACTTATAACCTTAAATATATCTTTTTTTTTGTCCGGTTGTGGGGCCTGAACTCTGGGCCTGGGTGCTGTCCCTCAGCTCTTCAGCTCAAGGCTAGCACTCTACCACTTGAGCCACAGTGCCACTTCTGGCTTTTTTCTTTTTGCTTATGTGGTGCTGAGGAATCGAACCCAGGGCCTCAGGCATGCAAGGCAAGTGCTCTACCACTGAGCCACCTTCCCAGCTCCACCTTAAATATATCTTAAATTTAGCACCCAGCTTACGAGCATTTTTTTGAACTTCTTTCTAGTAGTTTTGATTTTCAATGAGAAGTTTTATTTGGCTGTGATTCAAGAGACAGAGTTTAGTATCATTCAAGGCCCAATGCTTGCTGAGTGTGGCTCAATTGGTCTGAAGTAATGTAGTGTCTAGCTAGTGTAGGGACCTGAATTCAAATTTCTGTACTGGTTCCCCTCCCCAAGAAAGACACTCTGCTTTTTTTTTGGTGTGGGAATTGAACCCAGAGCTTCATACATGTTAACTAAACAGTCTACTACTGAGCTACCCCCAACACTGGATCCTTTGCATTTTAAGTTGGCTTTTTTGGTGGTTGTTTTTTTTTTTTTGGTGGGTCATGGGGTCTGAACTCTGGGCTTCGGTGCTGTCCCTGCGCTCTTCAGCTCAAGGCAAGTGCTCTACTGGTTGAGCCACAGTGCCACTTCTGGTTTTCCAGTGGTTTATTGAAGATAGTCTATGGACTTTCCTGCCCGGGCTGCAATTCTCAGATCTCAGCCTCCTGAGTAGCTAGGATTACAGGCGTGAGCCACCGATGCCTGGCTTTTAAGTTGGCTTTATATGTGTAAAAAGATGAGTTTATTTAGAATTGTAATCATAATGAACCCACTGATGAAATTTAAACTGGATTTGTATTCTGAGCGTAGATCAGGTGCTTAGGACTAATCATGTTGATTTCTCTTTTTTTAGACACATTAATGGACACTCCCAGGGCACACGCGGTTGAAGAGGTTGAACCCTTTGAGGAGCAAGTGGAGGATCTGAGTAGCTCCATCAAAGATGCTGTGGACAGTCCCTGTGATGCTTCCTCCAGTACTTTCACTGACGCAGAGCAGCGGAAAGTGGAAGAAATACATGAGGAGTATGGCTCTTCGGATGGACAGTGATAGCTTCATGCTTTATCCAGAGTGTTCCTGTGTTAGGTAAACCTCCTTAGAGAATAATGCAGTCACTGTCCTGCACGTTTGGGGGTGCTGTGCTTTGTCTGCTTTGTGCAGTAAAATTTACAAGCTCCTATTTAAAATTTCGTATTTATTTATCCTTAATGCTGCTGCTTATTAGCGTTAGTCTGTTACCTTTAATGTTTTAGACAGCTATGATCTCATAAAATAGTTAATAGCTAATAAGCAAGGTTCCTCTAGTGTCCAGTCAGTCCTTGTTTTCACTCCATCGAGCACTGTTTTTAGATGTAAATGTGTAGATATACTACTGTCTTTGTATAAAGTAAAAACTCAGTTTTATAAACTGTCTTGTTTTGTTTTTGTTTTTTTGGTCCAGTCGTGGGGCCTGAACTCTGGGCCTGGGCGCTGTTCCTCAGCTCTTCAGCTCAAGGCTAGTGCTCTACCACTTGAGCCACAGCGCCACTTCTGGCTTTTTTCTTTTTGCTTATGTGGTGCTGAGGAATCAAACCCAGGGCCTCATGCATGCAAGGCAAGTGCTCTACCACTGAGCCACCTTCCCAGCCCTTATAAACTGTCTTTAGAGGCTTTATGAGAGTTTCTCATCACATCTTATATCTGCACGTTATACTTTTGATAAGCTGTTTGAGGTTTTTGCCTGTGTTTTGAAGTCACTTTATTATATGAAAGGCCAGGTGTTACTGGCTGTCATAGGCGAGGGGAGCTCAGAGACTCCTTAGCATCTTCACAAGTGGAGCACCCACAGAGGGCTCATAAAGACCTTTCAATTGAGGCACAGGTTCCAGGGATGGGAAGAAAGTGGACAAGGACACAGAAGTAAAGATTTAAGAAATACTCAAGCTTTGGGAATGGTGACACTGAAGCCCAGGTAAGAGCGGTTTGGAACTCTTGTGCTTTTCCAGCTTGCTGCAACGGTATAGGTACACATGAGAAACCATGCTGTTGACAGCTTTCAAGGTTGGCTGCAGGCAGACGAGGGACAGCTTCCTAGCTAGTTTTTACAGAGGAGGCAGGAAAATCACCCTTTTTTTCCTGCTTATGTGGTGCTGAGGAATAGAACCCAGGGCCTCATGCACGCAAGGCAAGCGCTCTACCACTGAGCTACCTTCCCAGCCCCTGGAAAATCACCTTTGTGACACTCAGTAAACTCCCGCTCAAAGGGAAGCTCATGGCCTCTTCCCTCAGCGAAAGGGTGGAGTATGGGTACAAAGGTGCCACAGGCCAGAATCTGGTGCTCACTTTCTTTTCTGACTTTGGGTAGGAGTAGGGAGAGGAAAAAATGGTTTGGTTAAGAAGCCAAGAAATGGGGCTGGGAAGGTGACTCTGGTAGAGTGCTTGCTTTGCATGCATGAGGCCCTGGGTTCGATTCCTCAACACCATATAAGCAAAAAGAAAAAAGCCAGAAGTGGTGCTGTGGCTCAAGTGGTAGGGCACTCGCCTTGAGCTGAAGAGCTGAGGAACAGCGCCCAGGCCCAAAGTTCAGGCCCCATGACTGACCAAAAAAAAAATAAAGCCAAGAAGTTAGGCACAGGAGAACACATGGGTTGAGGGCTCACTAAGAGCTGTAATGGACATGATCTAGGGGGAAGAGGGAGATGAGCCCAGAGGATGTGACTTTTTTTTTTCCTGGTCACAGGGCTTGAACTCTGGGCCTGGGCGCAGTCCCTGAGCTCTTCAGCCCAAGGCTAGTAGTGCTCTACCACTTGAGCCATAGCACCACTTCCGGTTTCCTGGTGGTTAATTGGAGAGTCTCAGGGATTTACCTGCCCCGGCTGGCTTTGAGCTGAGATCCTGAGATCTCAGCCTCCTGAGTAGCTAGGATTACAGGCGTGAGCTACCAGCACCTGGTGGATGTGGCTTCTTGTTGCAAGCTGGGTATCAGCTTGAAGATGGAGCCCACATGCCAGGTGCCATGAATACTTAGAGAAACTGCTTTCCAGGAATCGCCAGTCACATAATTCATAAGCTAGATTAGATGGGACTGGGGGACTGGGAAAGGTGTTATTTTTTCACTGGCGGGCTTGTTGTCAAAGATAAAAATTCCCATACAGGCTTGGCCAATGCACCTCATCCTCACCCTCTGTGTGCGTGCGGAAGGGGGACGGGTGGGGGTGGGGTTGCAGCAGAATGAGAAGCCAGGAAGGGCTTGAGCAAGATCTGACCTGTGCATCCCACCGAATTCCTTCTGCCCAGTGTCTGTGGCTGGTGTTGGAACAATTGGGGAAGCTTGAGTCAAATAGGAAACAGGAGTTCTTTTTTTTTTTTTTTTTGCCAGTCCTGGGGCTTGAACTCAGGGCTTAGGCACTGTCCCTGAACTTCTTTTGCTCAAGGCTAGCACTCTACCACTTGAGCCACAGAGCCACTTCCGGCCTTTTCTGTTTATGTGGTACTGAGGAATCGAACCCAGGGCTTCATGCATGTTAGGCAAGCACTCTACCACTAAGCCACATTCCCAGTCCATTACAGGAGTTCTGAAGTGGGCAGTAGTTACCTGAAAGATGGTACGGGAGTTTATAACTCAAATGATGATCCCCAATTTTGTGTGTGTGTGTTGTTCGTGGGGCTTGAACTCAAGGCCTATCCCTGAGCTTTTTCATTCAAGGTTAATTCTCTACTACTTTGAGCCACAGCTTCACTTCCACTTTTCTGGTGGTTAATTGGAGTTAAGAGTCTCATGGACTTTTCTGCTGGGGCTGCCTTTGATCTGCAATCCTCAGAAGCTAGGTTTATAGGCATAGGCCACTGGTGCCTGGGTGATCCTCAAGTTTTTAAATTATAAATAACATGTAAGCCAGGCACAGGTGGCTCATGCCTGTAATCCTAGTTACCCAGGAGGCTGAGATCTGAGAATCATGGTTTAAAGCCAGCCAGGACAGGGAAGTTATGAGACACTTATCTCCAATTAACTACCAAAAAGCCAGAAGTAGAGCGGTGGTTTATGTGGTAGAGTTCTAACCTTGAACACAAAACTTGAGGAACAGCGCTCAAGCCCCATAACCAACAAGAACAAAAAGATTCTGTGTATTAATGAGGCTACCAAACCTGCCTTTGCGGAGCACCTTTCATCTTCATTGCTCAAGTCAGTTTCCATAGTGACCTGGTCCTATGTTTTTTTTAAGACAACCTCAGTGTGGTGTTAGGGAATACGACACATACATGAAATATCCACCCAATCCTGAGCAACGACAGCACAGGTGACACACAGTGACATGCTTCACAAGATGGTTAAGGAAAAAGAAAAAAAAAAAAAGGTCAGACCAGGCTCTTTTAATGAAGTCAAAGTGTTTCAGATCCTGTAATTGTTTGAAACATCCAGAAGTGCTAGGTCCCTTATCTCCTCCAGGAGTGTGTAGAGACTGCCTCCCTTGCTTTGGCAATACTCCTGATACTCTTCCTCAATGACTTTGCCTTTGATTTCCTGGGCAAGCTGAGCTTCTTCCACGGATCTCGTCACCTCTTTCACCAGCTCACTCTTCAGCAAGAGGGAACTCTGGCGGCAAAGTTCTGTGCTTGACATCTTATATGGCTTGTTGCTGATTATTTCAAGCCTGATGGTGTCTGAGTGGCAACGCAGGGCCTGTACAGATATCCGTACCTGTCAGAGAGAAAAATGTGTTGCTGAATCACTCTTTGTCCTTCACACTGGAAAGCAATGCTTAATTGAGATACAGACTTACTGTGACATGGTCAAATAAATGGAAAGTAACGGGGTCCCCTCCTGTTGGGGTAGAGGTGATTTTGTTTTGACATCGTTGAAGGGATCCTGGTTTCCATTCAGAATGGCTGTCTAGCCCACAGGAGATCACTAAACCATCTTTGTTTTTCAGATAAGCAGCACCTTTAATCCCAAATCTGAATAATCAGAATGAAAGACCAGAGTTAGGTATACTGAATATGTACAACTTGAATGCTGAGAGTGCTAATTTTTCTTCTAGACTTAAAAAACCTTTTCTATGATTTTTCCTTTAACAATTTGTTTTTGCATTAGTAAGTAGATTGCAACATAAAGTACTGCTAGATAAGAAAGTAAGAGCCTGCCAGGTGCTGGTGGCTCATGCCTATAATCCTAGCTACTCAGGAGGCTGAGATCTGAGGACCACAGTTTAAAACCAGTTGGGGCAGGAAAGGCCCTAAGACTCTTACCTCCAATTAACTACCAAAACAAGACAAACAAAAAATAACCAACTGGAAGCCGGGCGCCGGTGGCTCACGCCTATAATCCTAGCTACTCAGGAGGCTGAGATCTGAGGATCGCGGTTCAAAGCCAGCCCGGGCAAGAAAGACCGTGAGACTCCTATCTCCAATAAACCACCAGAAAACCGGAAGTGGCGCTGTAGCTCAAGTGGTAGAGCGCTCGCCTTGAGCTGAAGAGCTGAGGGACAGCGCCCAGGCCCAGAGTTCAAGCCCCACGACCGACAAAAAAAAAAAAAAAAGTCTCGTGGACCTTGCCCATGTAATTGTAACCCCTCCGTACGGTATTTTCACAATAAAAAAATAAAAAAAAAAACAAAGTCTCATGGACTTTCCTGCCCATGCTAGCTTTGAACCAGGATCCTCAGCTTTCAGCCTCCTGAGTAGCTAGGATTATAGGTATGGGCTACTGGTGACCAGCATCTATACATAGATATATTTATAGTTCAATTGCTTCCTTCATTTTATAATCCTACATTCAACCATATATTACGTTGTATACACAGTGTTAAGTTTGCAGTTGTTGTTTGTATTACATATACATCTAATTCTTACTTTGTGCTGGGGATCAAGCTCAGGGAATCAATTCTACATGCTAAGTAAGTGCTCTACCACTGAGTAACACTCTCAGCCCTAAAGAATTGTGTTCCACTTTTCCTAAGTAACTGCTGCATTCACTGTGACCTACCTTGGAATAAACACAAGCACGCCATTTGTTCTAATGGAGTAAATAACCCCGTCAGCTATGCAGCGCGCCTCGGTGTCAGGGTCTTTGTCCTTGAAGTACATGCACTGGAAGAGCTCGGTGGACTGCTTCTGAGAGTGCTGTGCTGCCTGAAAGAAGCATAGCCCTGCATTCTCAATCCTGATATCCTGGGAAAAAGCTGAAACAGCAACTCTGGAATCAACTACCCAGCTGCGCACCTGTGGCTCACGCCTGTCATCCTAGCTACTCAGACTGAGAGCTGAGGATTATGGTTTGAAGCCAGCCAAGGAAGGGAAGTGTGTAAGATTCTGATTTTCAGTTAACTACTGAAAATACCAGAAGTGGAGCTGTGGCTCAAGTCGTTAGAAAGCAAGCTTGAAGCAAAAAAGCCGAGTGAAAGTATAAGGCCCTGACTTCACGCCCCTACTACCAGCACACAAAAAAACCCAAAAACATGGCAACTGTACAATGAAATAGGATTAATTTTTTTTTGTTGTTATTGTTGTCAGTCATGGGGCTTGAACTTTGGGCCTGGGCGCTGTCCCTCAGTTCTTCAGCTCAAGGCGAGCACTCTACCACCTGAGCTACAGCGCCACTTCTGGTTTTCTAGTGGTTTATTGGAGATGAGATAGGAGTCTCATGGTCTTTCCTGCCCTGCCCAGGCTGGCTTTGAACCACAATCCTCAGATCTCAGCCTCCTGAGTAGGATTACAGGCCTGAGCCACTAGCGCCTGGCTTAAATCAATTTTTGTGGGAATTTAATCATCCAGTATTGTCTCTTCAAAAATGTCTTAGAAGCCAGGCCCCAGGGGCTTATGCCTGTAATCCTAGCTACTCAGGTGGCTGAGATCTGAGGTTTGCAGTTCAAAGCCAGCCCAGGCAGGAAAGTCCATGAGACTCTTATCTCCAATGAACCACCAGAAAACTGGAAGTGGCGCTGTGGCTCAAGCTGTAGTGCTTGTCTTGAGCTGAAGAGCTGAGGGTCAGCACCCAGGCCTAGAGTTCAAGCCCCACGACTGACAACAAAACGTGTTAGAGGCAGCCAATCACTATCATAGCTACTCAGGAGGGTGAGACCTGAGGATCGTGGTTCAAAGAGGGCCCAAGCAGGAAAGTATGAGATTCTTTATTTTCTTCTTATTGGTTGTGGGTCCAGCTATGATATTCTTTTTTTTTTTTTTTTTTTTTTGTCGGTCATGGAGGCTGAACTCAAGGCCCAGGCGGTGTTCCTCAGCTCCTCAGCTCAAGGCTAGCACCCTACCATTTGAGCCACAGCTCTACCTCTGGCTTTTTTCTGCTTATGTGGTGCTGAAGAATTGAACCCAGGACCTCATGCATGCAAGGCAAGCACTCTACCACTGAGCCAACTTCCCAGAACCCCCAGCTATGAGATTCTTATCTCCAATAAACTACTCAAAGTCAGAAGTGGTGCTGTGGCTCAAGTGGTAGAGCACTAGGCTTGAGCAAAAGCAGCTCAGGGACCTAGCCCAGGCCCTGAGTTCAAGCTCCAGGACTAGCACACACACACAACACAAAAGTCTTAGAAAATGAAATATATACATTTTTTGGAGGTACTGGTACTAGGGTTTGAACTCGTCTTCATGCTTATTAGGCAGGAGCTCTACCTCTTGAGCCATTCCACCAGCCCCTTAGGGTTCTTGATTTTGGGGTGTATATGTGTGTGCCTGTCTGTATCTGTATTCTGGGGCTTGAACTAACTCATGGACTGGACACTATCTGAGTTTATGCTTAAGACTAACATTCTACCATTGGGGTTACAACTTCACAGATACGACTCTCACAGACTTGCCTCCTGAGTAGCTAGGAATATAGGTATGAGCCACTGGCACCAGGATTAGATTAGTTATTTTTGAGATAGGGTCTCACTGTATGCCTGGATTGGCCTGTACTACAATACTATTTGTGCTGCCCTGTGAAATTAAGTTTCTCAAACTTATTTTTGTACTGGCTAGCCTCAATCCCTGGATCTCAGCTTCCCAAGGAGAAAATTCATTCTTTATAAAATGAAACATTCCAGAGGCAAGAAAAGTGATATACGGTTATTTGACATGCAAGCGAAACATCACTCTTGTCCTGATTTTCAAGCCTGTTGCATGGAAATCTTGGGAGGGGAAACAGATGAACACTTTGTGATAAAGGGCAACTTGGTAATTCACACTAGATTCACACCAGATGTAACTCAGGAATTCAGGCCCTGAATTACAGGTCCCCTGTTTACAGGAGACCTGTAAACTGCACTGCCCAACAGAACTCTGTAGTGAGCCAGGCGCTAGAACACTAGCTATCAGGAGGCTGAGATCTGAGGATTGAGGTTCAAAGGCAATCCAGAAAAATCCTTGAATCTCTTTATTTCCAGATAATTAACAAATAAGCCAGAAGTAGAGACAGTTCAAATGGTAGATTGCTACCAGTGAGTGAAAACTGCCAAATGAGAGCACAAGGCCCTGAGTTCAAGCCCCAGTACTGGCACAAAAAGCCACAGAGATAGTAGACAGTAGATCCAAACACAGAGACACTAGATCCAAAAAATTTAAAATTCCTTCTTACTCTGTTTCTGTTGTTGATATGTCTGCACAATTCCTCCAGATCTTTGTTGCTGAACAAATTCTCTTTAATTTCCTCTTTCCTGTCTTTAGAAATGGCTGCCATCAATAGTCGGTGGACAATCATATCAGAATATCTTCTTATTGGAGAAGTAAAATGGGTATATTTATCCAAGGCAAGACCTTTAAAAAGAAAACAAAACATCAGAATAAAATGAACTGGGTATACTTTTGAACCCTCCTGCTCAGGCTCAGGCTCGGGGGCACCGAGGAAATGCCTCAGTCACCATAATGGTGGAAGTCTTCTTCTGCACAGGAGCCGGTAGAGAAGTACAGCGCGTTGGACATGGCCTGCGTGGCCATAGAGCGCAGTAGCTTGTTCACAATTGGGTCGTTGGGGTCATCCGCCTTATCCAGAGAATCAGCCAGTGTTTTATTGGACCTGACAACAGAAAAACTTTCTATAAGCCCCATTTACCAAGGACCCTTCACTCATTGCTTTGACTATGTTCATCTGCCTGTGGTGATAATTATTTTGGACTGATTTAGGAAGCAATTCTTTCCTACTACGGAAATGTTAAGGTTTAGGGCTGGGAAGGTGGCTCAGTGGTAGAGCGCTTGCTTTGCATGCATGAGGCCCTGGGTTCGATTCCTCAGCACCACATAAGCAGAAAAAAAAGCTGGAAGTGGCACTGTGGCTCAAGTGGTAGAGCGCTAGCCTTGAGCTGAAGAGCTGAGGGACAGCGCCCAGGCCCAGAGTTCAGGCCCCATGACTGGACCCAAAAAAAAAAAAAAGAAAGAAATGTTAAGGTTTAAACAAAGGGTGAGAATTTAAATAAATCTCTTCAGTAGCAAAAAGCAACAGGCTGATTAGTACTAGTTAAAGTTAAAAGTGCTGTTCAGGCTGGGCGTGGTGGCTCACAGCTGTAATCCTAGCTACTCAGGAGGCTGAGACTTGAGGATTACAGTTTAAAGCCAGCCTGAGCAGCAAAGTCTGTGACTCTTCTCTCTAATAAACTACCATAAAACAAGAAGTGGCTCAAGTGGTAGAGTGCTTGCCTTGAGCTGAAGAGTTGAGGGACAGCGTCCAGGCTCAGAGTTCAAGCCCCATAACCGACCCCTCCCCCACAAAAAAAAGTGCTTTTATTTTTTGTCAGTGGGGTTTGAACTCAGGGCCTTGGTGCTGTCTCTGAGTTCTTTCGCTCAAGGCTAGTGCTGTACCACTTTGAGCCACTTCTGGTTTTCTGGTGGTTAATTGGAGATGAGAATCTCATGGGGGGCTGGGAATGTGACTTAGGTTTTTGTCTTTTTGTTTTTTTGGGGGGGGGTCCAGTTGTGGGGCCTGAACTCTGGGACTGGGCGCTGTCCCTCAGCTCTTCAGCTGAAGGCTAGCACTCTACCACTTGAGCCACAGTGCCACTTCTGGCTTTTTTTTTTCTTTTTGCTTATGTGGTGCTGAGGAATGGAACCCAGGGCCTCATGCATGCAAGGCAAGCACTCTTCCACTGAGCCAGCTTCCCAGCCCCAAATATTTTTCTTTCTTTTTTTTTGCTGGTTGTGGGCCTTGAACTCTGGGCCTGAGCGCTGTCCCTCAGCACTTCAGCTCAAGGCTAGCGCTCTACCACTTGAACTTAGTTTTAGAGTGCTTAGTTTTAGAGTGCTAGCCTAGCATGCATGGCATGAAGCCCTTGTTTTGATTCCTCAGTACCACATAAACAGAAAAAGGCAGAAGTGGTGCTGTGACTTAAGTGGTAGAGTGCTAACCTTAAGCCAAAGAAGCTTAGACAGTGTCCAGGCCCTGAGTTCAAGCCCCAGAACTGGCTTAAAAAAAAGTCTCATGGACTTTCCTACCCTGAGTAGCTAGGATTACAGGCATGAGCCACTGGCTCTTGGCTCTTTTTTTTTTTTGTCGGTCGTGGGTCTTGAACTCTGGGCCTGGGCGCTGTCCCTGCGCTCTTCAGCTCAAGGGGAACGCTCTACTACTTGAGCCACAGCGCCACTTCCGGTTTTCTAGTGGTTTATTCCAGATAAGAGTCTCACAAACTTTCCTGCCCGGACTGGCTTTGAACCGCTATCCTCAAATCTCAGCCTCCTGAGTAGCTAGGATTACAGGCATGAGCCACTGGCACCAGGCCTCTTTTTTTTTTTAATATCAAGAATCATTGCCAGATGCCAGTAGCTTAGGCCCAGGAGGCTGAGATCTGAAGATCAAGGTTCAAAGCCAGCCCAGACAGAAAAGTCTAAAACAATAACTCCAATTAACTAGCAAAAATGTTGGGCTAGAGGCATGACTCGAGTGGTCGAATGCCAGTAAGCCATGCATGAACACAAAACCCTGTTCTAATATTGGTCCACAAACAAAAAAATAACCATAAAAAGGTCAGGCACTGGAGCTCATACCTATAATCCTAGCTACTCAGGAGGCTGAAATGTCAAGATCACAGTTCAAAGCCAGCCTGGGCAGGAAAGTCTGTGCGACTCATCTCTTTTCATAAATTATGAAAACAGCTAGAAGTGGAGCTGTGGCTGAAATGGTAGAGCACTAGCCTTGAGCACAAAGGCTCAGGGACAGGGCTCAGGCCTTGAATTCAAGTCCCAGGACTGGCACCAAAACCAAACAAAAAAGTCCATCCAGGAAATAAGTGGCTACCACTTTGCGCTATTCCCCTGTTCCTCAGGACTACCTGGTATCTATGACGAAGCCTTTTGCCTTAGCGCATTCTCGGAGCTCAGCGAAGAACTCCTGGTGTGGAGGAGGGTGCTGGCGCAGCAGGGCCTGGTGAGGAAAACTCTCCCAGATCTTCTTGGCTACCCAGTGGTTGGCGAGGATCATGCATTCGGCCACCGTCTCGTGCACCTCCAGGGGCTGCCTGGGGATGAGGTCGTGAATATTCTTTCTTTCGTCTAGCTCTACTCGAACCTCTACCCCTTCCAGTTCCAGCGCGCCACAGCCATCGCGTTGGGCTCGGATGTGGCGAGCTATGTTGGTCAGCTTGCCGATGGCCCACACTAACTCCTCCAGCCTGGCTTGTCTGCTCTTCTCATCCAAGTCCTTGAATTCTGGAATCTCGTCGAGGATGCTGAAGTTGCCGTCCAGAAGTTCCTGGGCTGCTTCATAGAACAGTTTGTAAGCGGATCGAATAATGGTACGGCCATACCACACTTGCTTGATTTCATAAGAGGTTTTATCCAGTTCCCACATGACACTTACAGCATACCTGCAAAACCAGGAACATTGGCATCACTGTTCATTTCTAGTTTTTAAGCAAGTGGAACTTAATATTGGAAGTAATTTGAAGCCAGGTATCTGGGGCTCATGCCTGTTACCCTAGCTACCAAGGAGCCTGAGATCCTGAGGCTAACAGTTCAAAGCCAGCCAGGGCAAGAAAGTTCATGAGACTTTTTTTGGTGCTGGTCCTGAGGCTTAAAACCAGAGCCTGAAGCCGGGCGCTGGTGGCTCACACCTGTAATCCTAGCTACTCAGGAGGATGAGATCTGAGGATCGCGGTTCAAAGCCAGCCTGGGCAGGAGAGACCGTGAGACTCCTATCTCCAATAAACCACCACAAAACCGGAAGTGGCGATGTAGCTCAAGTGGTAGAGCGCTCGCCTTGAGCTGAAGAGCTGAGGGACAGCGCCTAGGCCCAGAGTTCAAGCCCCACGACCGACCAAAAAAAAAAAAAAACTAGAGCCTGAGCCTTGGCCTTGAGCTTTTTTGCTCAAGGCTAGCGCTCTACCACTGGAACCATAGCTCTGCTTCTGGCCTTTGCTGGTGAATTGGAGATAAGAGTCTCACAGAGTTTACTGCCCAAGCTAGCTTCAAATTGTGATACTCAGATCCCAGCCTCCTGAATAGCTATGATCACAGATATAAGCCACTTGGGCCTGGCTCCATAAGACTCTTCTTTCTTTTTTTTTTTTTTTTTTTGGGGGGGGGGTCCGGTCGTGGGGCCTGAACTCTGGGCCTGGGCGCTGTCCCTCAGCTCTTCAGCTCAAGGCTAGCGCTCTACCACTTGAGCCACAGCGCCACTTCCAGCTCTTTTTTTATGTGGTGCTGAGGAATCGAACCCAGGGCCTCATGCATGCAAGGCAAGCACTCTACCACTGAGCCACCTTCCCAGCCCCAAGACTCTTATTTCTAATTAAGTGGCAAAATGCTGGAAGTGGAAGAGAGCCTCAAGTGATAGAATGTCAGGTAAAGGAGAGCACCCGGACTCAGGCTCCAATAATGGTGCACACACACACAACCTTGAAAGACATGATATTCTATCAAATTTTGTTTCCAACTACTCTACCACAGAAGGCAAACAAATATAGCTATAATATATATACATACATACATATATACATACATACATATATATACATACATACATATACATACATACATATATATATACATATCTATATCTATATATAGATATAGATATAGATATTAAACTCTGGTTGGGCCTGGGCGCTGTCCCTCAGCTCTTCAGCTCAAGGCTAGCACTCTACCAATTGAGCCACAGCACCACTTCTGGTTTTCTGGTGGTTTATTGGAGATAAGAGTCTCACAGACTTTGCTGCCCGGGCTGGCTTTGAACTCTGATCCTCAGATCTCAGCCTCCTAAGTTGCTAGGATTACAGGAATGAGCCACCAGCACCCAGCTTCAAGCAAATATTTAAACTTTTTTCTTTGTTTTTGTTTTCTTTTTGTCTTGTTTATGTGTCTTTGGGAGGGCAGGGGGACACAGAAATGGAAGGACAATGAAGTAGTGAACAATGCAGTAGTGGTACTCATTAGACACTGTTGAAAATGAACTATACAACTTGTTGCGGGGATGGGAGGGGAAAACTGGGAGAATGAGGACATGACTATACTCTTTACCTGACTTATGTAACTACAACCCCTGTGTACATCACCTTTATCATGACAATAAAAATAAACTAAAAAAAAACAACAAAGGTAGACCAGATTCTGCTTAGCTCTGCACAAATCTGAAGTAAGTTCACATTGATTACTGACCCTGCCTTACAGTTCTTCATTTTGATAGTCAAGTCCAGGCAAAGTCCAGCCTTTAAAATCTTACAGGATGACAGTAAGCTACAAGAGTCTTGATGACAGGTTAAGAGCAAAAGTTCACTTAGCAAAGAACCATTCTTGGAAGTGGAGCTGTGGCTAAAGTGGTAGAGCGCTTGCCTTGAGCTGAAGAGCTTAGGCCCAGAGTTCAAGCCCCACGACTGACCAAAAAAAAGAAAAAGGAAGAAAGGAAAAAAAAGAACCATTCTGCTACCATAACCTATTTATAAGCTGGACACTGGTGACTTAAGTCCATAATTTTTTTTTTGGGCAGGGGGCCAGTTGGGGCTTGAACTCAGGGCCTGGGCACTGTCCCTGAGTTTCTTTTGTTTAAGGCTAGCACTCTACCACTTGAGCCACAGCACCACTTCCAGCCTTTTCTGTTTATGTGGTACTGAGGAATGAAACCCAGGGCTTCATGCATGCTAGGCGAGCACCCTACCACATTCCCAGCCCTCAAACCCATAACTACTCTGAAAGCTGAGATCTGAAGATTGCAGTTGAAAGCCAATCAAGGCAGGAGAGTCCACAAGATTCTTTTTTTTTTTTTTTTTTTGGTCGGTCGTGGGACTTGAACTCTGGGCCTGGGCACTGTCCCTCAGCTCTTCAGCTCAAGGCGAGTGCTCTACTACTTGAGCTACAGCGCCACTTTTGGTTTTCTAGTGGTTTGTATTGGAGATAAGAGTCTCACAGACTTTCCTGCCCGGGCTGGCTTTGAACTGCGATCCTCAGATCTCAGCCTCCTGAGTAGCTAGGATTACAGGTGTGAGCCACCAGCGCCCGGCCATAAGACTCTTATCTCCAATTAAACTCCAAAAGCCAGAAGTAGAAGTGTGGCTCAAGTGGTAGAGTGCTAGCCTTGAGTGAAATAACTAAGGGACACTACCCAGGTCCTGAGTTCAATCCCCAGTGTAGATACACAGAAATTACAACTCATGTTCTCAAACTCTAGTTTTCCTAGTATGTAAAAAAAGCTCTTGCATTAAATGTGTAATTAATCAAAAGCCCAAATGACAAGTGGGCAAGGAATATGAAGTAGTTCATAGAAACCTAAAAATGTGCCACTCCCATTATAGTAGGAAAAATGCAAATGATAAGCAAGATGCCGCTTGTCATCTGTCTTGTTGGCAAGGCGTGGGGGAAGCCAGTGTTCTGAGGAAATATAATCAGTGTGACCTCTGTGGAGGGCAGCTTAATTCTATCCATCTGAACACAAATGCAAGAACCTCGCACACAAATTCCACTCCTGCTACTTCTCCTTCAGATGGACTGGATTGTTTTAAAATGTAGAAGTAAGTTCAAAGTAACTTGGGATAATTTTTTTTTTTGGGTCCGGTCGTGGGGCCTGAACTCTGAGCCTGGGCGCTGTCCCTCAGCTCTTCAGCTCAAGGCTAGCACTCTACCTCTTGAGCCACAGCGCCACTTCCAGCTTTTTTTTTTCTTTTTGCTTATGTGGTGCTGAGGAATCGAACCCAGGGCCTCAGGCATGCAAAGCAAGCGCTCTACCACTGAGCCATCTTCCCAGCCCCACAATTTTGTTTTTAAGAGCAAAAGATTGGAAGCCCTCCAAGTTTTCATAGACAAGCAACTGTTACTAAAGTGGAATGACTTCTTGGATACATTGTTACTTTTAAAAAAGGGCAGGTAGGGGCTGGGAAGGTGGCTCAGTGGTAGAGCGCTTGCCTTGCATGCTCGAGGCCCTGGGTTCAATTCCTCAGCACCACATAAGCAAAAAGAAAAAAGCCAGAAGTGGCGCTGTGGCTCAAGTGGTAGAGCGCTAGCCTTGAGCTGAAGAGCTGGGGGACAGCGCCCAGGCCCAGAGTTCAGGCCCCATGACTGGACCCCCCCCAAAAAAAATTGTGGATAAAAAAGGGTAGGTAATAGCTACTCAGGAGGCTGAGATCTGAGGATCACTGTTCAAAGCCAGCCCGGGCTGGAAAGTCTGTGAGACTCTTATCTCCAATACAAACCACTAGAAAACCAGAAGTGGCGCTATGGCTCAAGCGGTAGAGCGCTTGCCTTGAGCTGAAGAGCTCAGGGATAACGCCCAGGCCCAGAGTTCAAGCCCCATGTCTGACCCAAAAAAGGGAAGAAAAAAAATAAAAGGAAGGAAGGAAGGAGATAGAAAAGAAGGGAGAGAAGGAGAGAGAGAAGGAAGGAAGGAAGAAAGAAGGTTAGGAAGGAAGACAGAAAGAAGGGCTGGAGAAATAAGGTTGCCTAAATATGAGCAAGGTAAGGGATGGAGAAGCTGGAAAAGTAGCAATAAGAGGCACTTAGGTTAGAGCTTATGGAAAATGAGAGGCACACAACAGAAGAAACAACCCCAGAAGAGCCAAGGTAAGCTCTGAAAATAAAAAATACATATCTCATAACCCAACTTACCTATCAACACCTCCCAGGAGGGAACACAAGTCAGCACTCAGCACCGGGGGCAGCATGTCATAGCGCCGATCTGCTAGGTAGTATGTGGTGGCCCTGTGAATGGCATGGGTTTGGTAACTGACCTTCAGGGGGCTGCAGCAGAAGCCTCTGACTACAGGGGCTGCAGGAGGTAAATGGTCTGGACCCCAGTGTGGATTCCCAAGGCTGCGGCTCTTCATAAAGCACAGCAGACTGCCTTATAAAACGTTCTCCTGGGCCCACTTTCCTGAGTGATACTGCTTTGGGCTGAGGAGTCTTTCACTGATGGAAGAGTATAAAGGACAAGGAAAACTGGAGCATGATGAACTGGTATTTATATAAAAGTAGCATATTCCAACCTATTTCAGTTTTGTAAGAAACAGTATATTAAAGCCAGGTGCCAGAGGCTCACACCTGTCATCCCTGATACTCAGGAGGCTGAGATCTGAAGAAAATGGTTCAAAGCCAGCCTGGGCAGAAAAGTCCATGAGACTCTTATCTTTAATTAACCACAAAAAGCTAGAAGTGGGGCTGTGGCTCAAATGGTAGAGCACTAGCCTTGAGCACAAAAGCTCAGAAACAGCACCCAGGCCCAGAGTTCAAGGCCAGGGTTGTCAAAAAAAAACAAAAAACAAAAAACAAAATCCCCACCTCCACCCCCTCCAACCCCCTCCCCCCAAAAAAAACAGTGTGTCAAAAGGTTAAAAAAAAAAAAGTTAGGGGGCTGGGAAGGTGGCTTAGTGGTAGAGCACTTGCCTTGCATGCATGAGGCCCTGGGTTCGATTCCTCAGCACCACATAAGCAAAAAGAAAAAAAGCCAGAAGTGGTGCTGTGGCTCAAGTGGTAGAGTGCTATCTTTGAGCTGAAGAGCTGAGGGACAGCGCCCAGGCCCAGAGTTCAGGCCCCACGACCGGAACCCCCCCCCCCCCCAAAAAAAAAGTTAGTGGCTCAGGTCTATAATCCTAGTTACTCAGGACGCTGAGATCTCAGGATCATGGTTCAAAGCCAGCTCCAACAGAGAAATCCATGAGACTCATCTCTAATTAACCACCAAAGAGCCAGAAGTAGAAGTTCAAATGGTAGAGCACTAGCCATGAACAGAAAAAAACTATACAAGATCAAAGGCCCTTAGTTCAGGCCCCAGGACTGGCACACATGCACACACACAAAAGGTTAAAAAAAAAGGAAATGTAAATGAACCAAGATGCTATTTTTCCTGAAGGAGAAAAGGATGTGGCATTCTGGGAAGCATAAACAGGAATCTTTTTTTGTTTTGTTTTGTTTGTTTTTTGTTTTGGGTCCAGTCGTGGGGCCTGAACTCTGGGCCTAGGTGCTGTCCCTCAGCTCTTCAGATCAAGGCTAGCGCTCTACCACTTGAGCCACAGCGCCACTTCTGGCTTTTTTCCTTTTTGCTTATGTGGTGCTGAGGAATCGAACCCAGGGCCTCAGGCATGCAAGGCAAGCGCTCTACCACTGAGCCAACTTCCCAGCCCATAAACAGGAATCTTTGAACATCTGACATTCACACAGACAGAAAGACGGTCAGCCTTGCACCCTTATACTGATTCCCATCAGTGGTACCTGGTCCTAGCTTCCACATCAATGTAAGAATTGGGTGCCACAAAATGGGTCACGTCTGCGATGTGGACCCCCAGCTCCAGGTTGCCATTGTGTAAGGTTCTCACGGAGAGGGCATCATCCACATCCTCGCAGCCTTTGGGGTCAATGCTGAACACCAGGTGCGTTTTCCTCAAGTCTTTCCGTCTTTTCTCTTCTTCAGGACTCACCTTCCAGGGATTTTCTGGCGAGTTCACTGGCATCTCACACATCTGCACAGAGCTAAGCAGTCAGCCATCTGGGCAGTACCAGTTGAGTTCATTCATTCCCAATTACTTCCTGCATGTGCTTACTTTGTTTCTTTGGATCAATAATTATTTACTAGGGGTTTTCAGTCACTGAGCTAGGCACTGCAAAGTCAGGAATCAATAAGAGAGATGTTTTTTTGATGTGTGTGGTATTGGGGTTTGAACTCAGGGTCTACTACTTGAAAAAGAGATACTCAACTAGTTGAGTCATGTCTCCACGTGTGAGAAGGGGTCTTGCTAACTTTTTGTCTGGGCTAGCCTAGAAACCCAAACCTCCTGATATCTGCTTCTCAATTAGTTGGGATTATAGTACCCAGCAGAAAAGACACTTTTTTTTTTGGTGCCAGTCCTAGAGCTCAAACTCGGCATGGCGCTGTCCCTGAGCATCTTTGTGTTCAAGGCTAGAGCTTTACCACTTGAGCCACAGTGCCAACTTTTGCTGAATGGTTTATTGGAGATAAGAGTCTCACAGACTTTCCAGTTCAGGCTGGCTTTGAATGGTGATCCTAAGATCTCAGCCTCCTGAGTAGCTAGGATGACAGATGTGAGCCACCAGTGCCTGACTTCCATGAACCTTTTTTTTTTTTTTTTTTTTGTCAGTCATGGGGCTTGAACTCTGGGCCTGGGTGCTGTCCCTGAGCTCTTCAGCTCAAGGTAAGTGCTCTACTATTTGAGCCACAGCACTACTTCTAGCTTTCTGGTGGTTAAGTGGAGGTAAGAGTCTCATTGACTTTCATTCCTGGGCTGGCTTTGAACCACAGTCCTCAGATTTCAGCCTCCTGAAGCTAGGATGACAGGTGTGAGCCACCGGCACCCAACTTAGACTGCTTTTTTGCTCAAAGCTAGAACTCCACCCAGGCTCTGGTGGCTCTCGCCTGTCATCCTAGCTACTTAGGAGGCTGAGAGATCTAAGGATCGAGATTCAAAGCCAGCCTGGGAAGGAAAGTCTATGGCTTAAATGGTAGAGCACTTGCCTTGAGCTGAGGAGTTCAGGGACAGTGCCTAGGCTCAGAGTTCAAGCCCCACAACCAACCTCCGCCACCTCCCTTCCCCCCTCCCCACAAAATCTAAGACTCCACTACTTGAGCCATACTCTACTTCTGGCTGTTTTTGATGGTTAATTGGAGATAAGAATCTCATGAACTTTCTAGCTGAGCCTGGCTTCAAACCTTGATCCTTAGATCTGTCTCCTGAGTAGCTGGGATTACAGGCATGAACCATCAGCATCCAGCTCAGAAAAGACTCTCTTGAAGGCTTCCATTGTGTTGTGGAAGTGTGCTATGACTTCCACCAGTCCCCTTGGTCATGGGGGTTGGAAGAGGAATGATGGGGAGGCTTATGGGAGTACAAAGTATACTCCATTTTCAAAGATCCAGCTACTTAAGTGCAGTTGATCTCATAATTCAAGTCAAGTCCTGAAAAAGTCAATGTGTCCCAAATAATAAAAGCTTATTCATTGAAGGTAATTTACCCAGGACGTCTAGGGCACTTCTTTCCATTAGCATCTGTTTAAGACATCAATTTATAATTAAATAGGTTAAAAGGGAAGAGAAAATTCCAGTCCTGTGAAAGCTAGTTCCTAATTTATTTTGTTTTAACATTTTCACTAAAAGCTACCAAACAAACCAACAAATAATTTCTGGAAACTAAAGTCAAACATCAAAATTTAATAGTATAAAATCCTCTAAAGCTGGACATGGTGGCTCATGCCTGTAATCCTACTCAGGAGGCTGAGATCTGAGGATAGTGGTTCAAAGCTAGCCTAGGCAGAAAAGGCCATAAGACTCTTATCTCCAGTAAACAACTCAGAAAACCGGAAGTGGCGCTGTGGCTCAAGTGGTAGAGCGCTTGCCTTGAGCTGAAGAGCACTGGGACAGCACCCATGCCTAGAGTTCAAGCCCCATATCGACAAAAAAAAAAAAAAAATCTTCTAAAATATTTTCCTATTATAACTCCTGTTTTATCCAAAGTTATCATGAAAATAAGAACACACACACATACACACCCTTGATGGTAATATAGATTGGTGCAATGCCTTCTGGAGAACCATCTGTCTATAACAAAAACTATTTTACAGGCAAGGTACCGGTGGCTCATGCCTGTAATCCTAGCCACTCAAGAGGCTGAGATCTGAAGATCGCAGTTCAAAGTCACCCTAAGCTGACAAATTTGAGAGGCTCTTATCCCCAGTTAAACAGCAAATATCTGGAAGACAAGGTGTGGTGCAGTGGTAGAGTGCCAGCCTTGAGCAGGAATAGCCAAATTAGAGCTCAAGGCTCTGAGTTCAAGCCCCAGTACACACACACACACAAATATATATATATATATATGTATACACACACACACACACACACACGCATACACACACACATGTCCTTTGACTTTCTATCTTTTTTTTTTTTGGTCAGTGGTGGGCTTGAACTCTGGATCTGGGCACTGCCCCAGAGCTCTTCAGCTCAAGGTGAACACTCTACCACTTGTCCTTTGACTTTCTAATCTCACTTTAAAGCTTACATTCCAAGAGAAAGATCAAAAAGAACAAAAAAGGCAATATAGCACTTTTTATAGTACTGAAAAATTAAACAACCCAAATGTCCAACAACTGAGAAATGTTTAAGCAAAGTAGGGTATGTTAATTTCAGCCATTCGTTATAACTACTAAAAATAAGAAAGCTATGCCAATACACAGGAATAATTTTAAACCAAAGATGCAGAAAACAAGTACACATGATAAATGCAGCCATGCGAAAATAATAAACAAGATTTATGACGATTTGAAAAGATCAGAAAATGGTGGAAATAGCTCATGTTTTATGTTCATTGGATTTTTGTTTTCTGTAAAGGTTACAAAAACAGTCTGATAATGAACATGAATTTTGGATCCATGGATGGGTGATATACGGACCCCAAAAATCTGTTCTCCTCATCTTTCTGCAGCCTTTGTATATGAGCTATTCTAGTTAGGGCGTGGAGCTCAGTTGGGCCTTGCTCTAAGTACCTTTCATGGTTAGACAGAGACACATCATTTTTATGCACAGTTGGAAAATGTCACGATTTTTTTTTTTTATGGTCAGTTGTGGGGCTTGAACTCTGGGCCTGGGTGCTGTCCCTCAGCCCTTTTTTTCTGTTTATGTGGTGCTGAGGAATTGAACCCAGGGCCTCATGCATGCAAGGCAAGCACTCTACCACTGAGCCACCTTCCCAGTCCCCCTTTATTTTGTCAGTTGTGGGGCTTGAACTCGGGTCTGGGCGCTGTACCAGAGCTCATTTGCTCAAGGCTAGCATTCCACCACTTTGGGTCACATAGCCATTTCCTGTTTTCTGGTGGTTTATTGGAGAAAAGCATCTCACGCATCTGGGCGCTGGTGGCTCACGCCTGTAATCCTAGCTACTCAGGAGGCTGAGATCTGAGGATCATGGTTCAAAGCCAGCTGGGGCAGAAAAGTCTGTGAGACTCTGATCTCCAGTAAACCACTAAAAAACTGGAAGTGGCGTTGTAGCTCAAGAGGTAGAGAGATGACCTTCAGCTGAAGAGCTCAGGGACAGTGCTCAGGCCCAGACTTCAAGTCCCATGACCGACCAAAAAGAAAAATAGAAAAAAAAGTCTCATGGACTTTCCTGCCCTCACTGACTTTGAACAGTGATTCTCAGATTGCAGCCTCCTGAATAGCTAGGATTACAGGCATGAGCCACTAGGGCCTGGCTTGTATTTGTAATTTGTAATAGTCCCCATGGATGGGGACTGTTTTTGAACTGTAAAGGTTATTGTCAATGTGTGATTTATGTTTTAAATTTGTAAGAATCATCTAATGTGATATACCAATTATTTTATTTTATTTTTTTGTTGGTCGTGGGGCCTGAACTCTGGGCCTGGGCGCTGTCCCTCAGCTCTTCAGCTCAAGGCTAGTGCTCTACCACTTGAGCCATAGCACCACTTCTGGCTTTTTCTGCTTATGTGGTGCTGAAGAATCAAACCCAGGGCCTCATGCATGCAAGGCAAGCACTCTACCACTGAGCCACCTTCCCAGCCCTGATATACCAATTATTATAAGTGACATTTAACTGTTTCACAACTCATTAAAATATTTTACATCGGAAAAAAAGATATTTTTCTTTTTTCTGGCTTTAGATAGTACATATTGATTGACATATAAAATTTAGTATATATTCACTGATACGTAGTATAAAAATTTGTCTTTCTATATAGGAGAGAGCAACAATAGCAAAATGCAAATGTCTGTCCCTACACCAACACTTCTAGAAATCTGACCTGAGCCTCAGAGAAAGGAACAACGGAAATGCTGTTTTCCACCAAGATGGTTGCGATCTCCCCTTCCAGATCGCCGATCCTTCCTAGAACACGCACAAAATGTCCATTTGGATACACAGACGTTGATTCCCAGGAATCAATGCGTACAACTACCCTGAAGTCCTGCAGAGAAGAAAAGAAAACATATGCCAAAACCAGTCAGGAAACGGAAAAACAGCCCTGGGTTCCAAAGAGAGGGGCCCTTTTGCAGGGAGTGGCATGGGACACTTTATTTTACTCTTTGGCTTTTGTCCTTCCTGTTTTACTCAATTGCCAGATGGTATCTAAGCACTTGGCCCAATGCTTTGAAAAGAGGCATCGCCTCCTCACATCAGAGAATTGGGCTGCAAATTTTAGTCTGTTAAAGCCAACTGTAAAACATTTAACCATTTAACACTTGCCATGACAGGAAAAAATGCAATGACGCATGATCCAAATTAAGTTTTAAAACAATAGACTCAATTTTTAGTGTGTAGGAGTTACTTTCTGATTTCTGTCTTTTTTTTTTTTGTGCTAGTGCTATTGCTTGCACTCCAAGTCTGCGCACTGTTCCTTAGCTTTTTTCACTAAACAAGGGCAATCTACCAGTGGGGTGCTGGTGGCTCATGCCTGTAATTCTAGCTACAGGAGGCTGAGATCTGAGGATCACAGTTCAATACCAGCCTGGGCAGGAAAGTCCGTGAGACTCGTGTGCATGCGTGCGTGCATGTGTGTGTGTGTGTGTGTGTGTCTTTTTTTGCAGGTTAATTGGAGTTAAGAGTCTCATGGATTTGTCTGCTCAGGCTGGCTTCAAACTTCGATCTTCAGTTCTCAGCCTACTCAGTAGCTAGGATTACAGGTGTGAGCTACCAGTACTGGGTCAAGTAAAGGTTAATTTCTAAGTTCCTCGTTTCTATCTTCTCTCCAGTGATATATATATATATATATATATATATATACTTTTTTTTTTTTTTTTTTGTCGGTCGTGGGGCTTGAACTCTGGGCCTGAGCGCTGTCCCTCAGCTCTTCAGCTCAAGGCGAGCGCTCTACCACTTGAACTACCATGCCACTTCCAGTTTTCTGGTGGTTTATTGGAGATAAGAGTCTCACAGACTTTCCTGCCCAGGCTGGCTTTGAACTGAGATCCTCAGATCTCAGCCTCCTGATTACAGGCGTGAGCCACTGGTGCCTGGCTGCTATATTTCTTTATGAAGAATCAATTCGGTATAGTAGCACTCCATCATCCCTGTGAGAGAGTGATTGAATTTCTCTATCACTTGCTGGAAGGAAGCTTGTTAGTGTTGGCAAAATGTATCTATTGCAAGTTTCTAGGTTGGACAGCTACTTAATATATGGTCGCTTAGACTGTCCTACAAAGAAGCTCTTTCTAGGACAAGTTCTCTCTGGCCTTCATTTATTAACCATGGACTACTTAATGGATGGTTCGTATATATTTAGAATTTTTAAAAAAAAGTATCTCAGAGTGCCAGATGCCATCAGTAATTGATTTCTTCTTATGCAAAGGAATGACTGATGCTTCCTAGTTCTGTTCGATGGCGGGCAGGCTGGGCGCTGGTGGGTCACACCTGTAATCTTAGCTACTCTGGAGGCTGAGATCTGAGGATCACCATTCCAAGCCTGCTCAGGCAGGAAAGTCCAAGAGACTCTTTTTTTCTTTTGTTGGTTGTGGGGTTTGAACTCTGGGCCTGGGCACTGTTCCTGAGCAATTCAGCTCAAAGCTAGCACTCTACCACTTGAGCCATAGCACCATTTCCAGTTTTCTGGTGGTTTATTGGAGAGAAGAGTCTCACGGACTTTCCTGCTTGGCTTGTTGAAGTGGCAGAGCAGAGTGCTAGCCTTGAGCAAAAAAGCTCAGGGACAGCACCCAGGCCCTGAGTTCAAGCTCCAGGACCAATATCAAAACAAACAAAAAAATGTGGAGGCAGAGCCAGAACAGCGGGGTTGCAACACCAGTTACCTGCAGGGCTCCTGCTTGCTGAGTGCTAATCCGGATTTTGGGAATTCTGTAATCCCAGGGAGTAACTAGAACCTTCTGAGCATTTTTGCCCTGAGATTGGACTTCTTCTTTAGATGGAAATGTTACCACATAATCTCGCCAGTTCTTCTGAAGAATGCCCACCACTCGACCTTTGAGAAGACAAAGAAGAGGAAAGCATGACCCAGTTAGATGCCACCAGCTATTTGTGACCCACTTAGCAGGAAGTGCACAGACACACAGACACAGACACACAGACACACACTGCCAACTCAATTTTTAAGCATGTCCATACAAGTTAAAAGCTATTAGATAGTCTCCTTTTTAGCATTTGAAAGATGTATAATTTTCTTTCTTTTTCTGTTGTGTGTGTGTGTTGGGGGGGAGGATAGTATTGGGGCTTAACACTCAGCCTCACACTCTTGCTTAGTTTTTTGTTGTTATTGGTCCTGGGGCTTGAACTCAGGACCTGGGTATTGTCCTTGAGCTCTTTTTGTTCAAGACTAGCGCACTCTACCACTTTGAACCACAGTTCCACTTCCGGTTTTTGAGTGGTTAACTGGAGATTAGAGTTGCACAAACTTTCCTACCTGAGCTGGCTTTGAATCTCTATCCTCAGATCTCAGCTTCCTAAGTAGCTAGGATTACAGGAGTAAGCTACTGACACTAGGCTTGCTTAGCATTTTTTTCTCAAGGCTGTTGTTCTACCACTTGAGCCACACCTTTATTTCCAACTTTTGCAGGTTTATTGAAGAGTCTCTGGGCCTTGTTTACCCAGGCTAGCTTTAGGTAAAGCCAGATCTCAGCCTCCTGAGTAGCTAGAATTTCAGATGTGAGCCATCAGTGCCTGGCTAATAGCTATTTTTTTTAAGACAGTGTGTTCCAGGTCTGCTATGGCCTGGAATTCTCATTCTCCTGCTTTACCCCCTGTATGCTGGAACTACAGATGTGTACCACCATACCCAGCCAGAAGAGTAGATATGAGTACATATGGGTAGATATAAGAGTAGAAATATGGGACTGGGAATGTGGGTTGGTGGTAGTGTGACTGCCTAGCATGCATGAGGCCCTGGGTTCGATTCCTCAACACCACATAAGCAGAAAAAGCTGGAAGTGGCACTGTGGCTCAAGTGGTAGAGCGCTACCTTGAGCTGAGGCCCAGGCCCAGAGTTCAGGCCCCATGGCCAACAACAACAAAGGAATAGGAAAAGGCAGAGCTGAGTGCCAGATGCTCACCTCTGTAATCCCAGCTGCTCAGGAGACTGAGATCTGAGAACTGAGGTCTGAAGCCAACCCAGGCAAAAGTTTATGAGACTCTTATCTCCAATTAGGCACCAAAAAGTCAAAAGTGGAGTTGTAGCCCAAGTGGTAGAGCGCTAAGCACCGAAAGCATCTAGGCCCTGAGTTCAAGCTCTGACACCAACACAAATAAAAAGAGGTCAACACAGCACTTACGGCTTGCTGGGCAGAAGGAGAGAGTGACTGGGAGTGGAGGCTGGCGCGCGGGCGCGCGGTCTCACCTGTCGGCATGGGCTCGCTTGGAGACTCGCCTGAGGCCTTGTCCTCGATGTCGTTCTCACACAGCGCAGCCGTCCTGCCTTTCCATTCCCGTGTGGGCAGGAGTTCCACCGCCACCAGGTCCCCGTGAATGGCACGGTTCCGAGCCTTGAGGCCATGCACGAGGATGTCACTCACTAAACCTGGGGTGTGGACAGCACAGAGAGGCTCATGGGAAGCCTGAGGAGCACTCACTCCTGCAAACCAACTTTCCTCCTTTCAAAGGTGAGGTCCAATCTCTGGTATTCGGCTGAGTTAAGCGAGCAAACACAGCCACCATGTCATACACCCTTCACAATGTTAGTTGTTTTCTTTTGAGATAGTCTCTATGTAGCCCTGCCTGGCCTTGAAATTCAGATCTTCCCAACTGCGGAGATGACAGGCAGGAACTACGTCACCCATTCGCCCAGTTGTACTTTTGATTTTCTCTAAAAATATTTCTTGCCAGGCACTAGTAGCTCACACCTGTAATCCCAGCAACTCAGGAGGCTGAGATCTGAGGATCATGGTTCAAAGGCAGCAGGGGTAGGAAAGTCTGTGAGATTCTTATCTCCAATTAACCACCAGAAAACCACAAATGACCCTGTGGCTCAAAGTGGTAGAGAACTAGACCTTAAGTACAAAAGCTTAGGGACAGTGCCTAGGCCCTGAGTTCAAGTCCTAATACCAGCACCAAAAAAGAAAAATGAAAAAAAAAAAAAAGTCAACAGAAAGGATTTTGTGGGCTGGGAAGGTGGCTCAGTGGTAGAGCACTTGCCTTGCATGCATGAGGCCCTAGGTTCGATTCCTCAGCACCACATAAGCAAAAAGAAAAAAGCCGGAAGTGGCGCTGTGGCTCAAGTGATAGAGTGCTAGCCTTGAGCTGAAGAGCTGAGGGACAGCGCCCAGGCCCAGAGTTCAGGCCCCACGACCGGACCCAAAAAAAAAAAAAAAAAAAAAAAAAGGATTTTGTAAGTCCTCCCCAACATAAAGAAATGTCAATTATGTGTGTGTGTGTTGGTGTTTTGGTCCAGTCGTGGGCCTGAACTCTGGGCCTGGGTGCTGTCCCTCTGCTCTTCAGCTCAAGGCTAGCGCTCTACCACTTGAGCCACAGCGCCACTTCCAGCTTTTTTTTTTCCTGGTTGATTGGAGATATGGGTCTCACTCATGGTCTTTTTGGCTCAGATTACTTTCAACCAAATTCCTCAATAGTACTCCTCCCGAGTAGTTAGAATGATAGGTGTGATCCACCAGTACGCGGGCTTAAATGTTGTTTTTTCTTTTCTTTTCTTTCTTTTTTTTTTGGTCAGTCCTAGGGCTTGAACTCATGACCTAGGGACTGACCCTGAGCTTCTTTTGCTTTTTCTATGTATGTGGTCCTGAGGAATCGAACCAAGGGTTTCATGCATTCTATACAAGCACTCTACCGCTAAGCCACATTCTTGAGCCCAAATGTTAATTTCCCAATTTTTAAAAAGTAAAATAAAAGCCAGGAGCTGGTGGCTCACACCCGTAATCCTAGCTACTCAGAAAACTGAGATGAGAGGATTGTGGTTCAAAGACAGCCTGGGCAGGAAAGTCTATGAGACTATTATCTCCAATAACCACCAGAAAACTGGAAGCGGTATTGAGGTTCAAAGTAGTAGAGTGTTAGCCTTGAGCAAAAAAACGCTCAGGGACAGCACCTATGCCCTGAGTTCTAGCCCCATGTCTGACCAAAAATCAATCAATCAATCAATAAATCCAAAAAGAAAAAGTAAAATAAAATGAAATCAAAATTATAGACTAGGGGCTGGGAAGGTGGCTCAGTGGTAGAGTGCTTACATTGTATGCATGAGGCCCTGGGTTCGATTCCTTAGCATCACATAAGCAGAAAAAGCCAGAAGTGGTTCTACGGCTCAAATGGTAGAGTGCTAGCCTTGAGCTGAAGAGCTGAAGGACAGTGCCTAGACCAAGTTCAGACCCCATGACTGACATGACTCACACACACACACACACACACACACACAAACCTAGGCAAAGCACCTTGTGCCCCACAAATGCATGTGCCCATGGGGACACATGCATGCATGCATGGTAGGACTATGTCACCTTTATCTTTTCACTGTGTAACAACAGAACAGATAAGTAGTGTGGAAATTTAAATATGGTTTATACTGAACCTGAATCATTAATTCAAATATGGTTTATACTGAACCTGAATCTTTACAGCTGGCTCCTTGAAGTCGAACAAAAGCTTCTATTTGTGCTCTATGTTTATTCACGTTCAGAATTCCCTAAAATCATAATTAAAAAAAAAAATCAGTGTTTTTGGTAGGAGAAACCAAGCAGGTGGAGTAGAAAAACAGAGGGGAACAGACATTTGTGAACACACATTTGTGTATGTACTTTTATAATTACTCTTACAAAAAACTGTTTTTGTTTTTTTTGGTCCAGTTGTGGGGCCTGAACTCTGGGCCTGGCCGCTGTCCCTCAGCTCTTCAGCTCAAGGCTAGCGCTCTACCACTTGAGCCACAGCGCCCCTTCTGGCTTTTTTCTTTTTGTTTATGTGGTGCTGAGGAATCGAACCCAGGGCCTCATGCATGCAAGGCAAGCGCTCTACCACTGAGCCATACTTCCCAGCCCCAAAAAACTGTTTTAAAGACAGGGGAGGAAGAAGGAGTTTGAGAAAGGATAACAAAAGGGTAGAGCTATCCCACATAGATCACATGCATATTTGGAAATGTCACAATGAAACCCCTTGGTACAACTCAAGTCCATGAGATTCTATTTCTAATTAACGAGCAAAAAGTACCAGTGGAGCTGTGGCTCAAGTGGCAGAGCACTGGCCTTGAGTATAAATCACAAGGTCATCTGGGTTGTCTCACACCTGCAACCCTTGTTATTAAGGAAGCTGAGATCTGAGGATCAGGGTTTGAAGCCAGCCTGGGTAGAAAAGTCTTGAGACTCTTATCCCCAATTGAGTACCAAAAAAGCCAGAAGTAGACTGACGGCTCAAGTGGTGGAGCACTAGCCTTGAGTACAAAAGCTCAGGAACAGTGTCCGAGACCTGAGTTCAAACCCACGGCTGGCATACACACACAAAGAAAGGTAATAAAATAAAAATACCCTTTTAGCAAGGACTTCAGAGTGGCATCTTCAAATCCACTGCCAAGGGCTATAAAAGGTGGCTACCAAGTCATACCTTAAGCCTGGACAGGTTCATTCACCCTATGCATAGCCTTATGGTATCAACTCAGAGGCCAACAGGGAGAGGAGGGCACGGAAAGAGGTAGAAGAGGAAAGAAGGATAGGGAAAGGAGGAGAGGCAGAAGATGAATACTGCCTGGTTCTGAATGACTCAAGTCATCCTCACCTGGACATAGCATCCTGATTTGACCCCTGCTTCCAGGACCTCGGCAGGAAGATGTTCAGGGTACTCCTTTCCGTGGCTCTCCTGATTCTCACTCTCCTTCTCCCGGCGGGATTGAAGGATGGAGTCACAGAGCTCATGGGCAGCTTTTAAATCAGGCCAAAAATTATCCAGGTAATTCTGCATTTCATAAAGGAGAGACACAGTTGAAAGACAGAAATTCTCCATCATAGCAGGGCCACAGAACTGTTGCCAGCTGAGTGCTTCCTCATCTGTGTGTTCCTGAGTCTCCTTTCACACCCAGTATGGTAGCTCACCAGTCTGTGAGCAGGCTCATGATCCACCGCCAGGTTCTCAGCACTTTATTTTCTTTTTTGGTCATGGGGCTTGATCTCTGGGCCTGGGTGCTGTCCTTGAGCTCTTCAGCTCAAGGTGAGCGCTCTACAACTTGAACTACAGTGCCACTTCTGGTTTTCTGGTGTTTAATTGGAGATAAGAGTCTCATGGACTTTCTTGCCCAGGCTGGCTTTGAACCATGATCCTCAGATCTCAGCCTCCTGAGTAGCTAGGATTACAGGTGTGAGCCACCAGTGTCTGGGCTTCTCAACACTTTTAACCCCACCGACCCCACCCAGGAAATACACAAGTGGGGACACTCATGCACCTATGTAAACACACAGTCCACGCATCCCAGTGTTGCAGACAAATGCACAGAATGGGCAGGAAAAGTTGCTACATGTATTCTTACCTTTTTATATGTGATTTTAACTCAGGTTTTTTTTTTGTTTGTTTATTTGGCCAGGCCTGGGGCTTGAACTCAGGACCTGGGTGCTGTCTCTGAGCTCTACAGCTCAAGGCAAGCACTTTACCACTTCGGCCCCAGTGCCACTTCTGGCTCTTCCCCCTCCCCCACTTCCTTTATGTGGTACTGAGGAATGAAGCCCAGGGCGTCATGCATGCTAGGCAAGCACTCTACCACTAAGCCACAATCCCAGCATTTTTTTTTTTTTTTTTAATGCTAGTTTTGGGGCTTACATTCAGGGCCTAGGCACAATCCATGAGCTTTTTCACTCAAGGCTGGTGCTCTACCATTTGAGCTACATTTCCACTTCCAAGTCTTTGGTGGTTAATTGGAAATGAGAGTCTAACAAATTTTCCTGCCCAGGCTGACTTTAACCAAGATCCTCAGATCTCAGCCTCCTGTATACGTAGGATTACAGGCCTGAGGCACCAACATGAAGCTGCGATCCTGTTTAGTTTTTTGGTTAAAGGTTGGTGCTCTACCACTTGATCCACAGCTCCATTTCCAGCTTTCTGAAGGTTAATTAGAAATAAGAGTCTCACAGACATTTCTGCTCAGGCTGGCTTTGAACCATGATCCTCAAATTTCAGTCTTTAGAGTAGCTAGGATTACTGGCATGAACCGGTTAGTGTCTTTGCTCTCCTCTATCTAACTTTACAAACCCCCATCTAAACTTCACATCTTTTTTTTTTTTTTTTGCTTCCTGCTGTCATTCATCCATCCTGATGGGGCCCTTGGTCATACCGTTTGCTAAAGAAACACTATACAAAATAAAATCTTCCTATACTACTGGATTACAAAGAAAAGTCATTTTCACCAAAAGTAGAAAAATGTAATTTTAGTCAACTGTCCTCTGCAGGAACAAGACATGATGTATTGCAAAAGAAAAACCTAGTGACACTGTCATTAATTTCCAGCGCCCCTGGAATTCTCTGGCATGCCAGAACACTTCTTTGCTTTTCTATTTTTTTTTTTTTAGTTTTTAAAGAGCAGGGCCAAGAAAATTCTATTGGCAGGTCTTTAGTAACACATGCACAGGAGAATCCTTAGAGCATTTACAATTCAAAATCCAACGAGACTTTCTGTAAAGTGACTGGAGCTACAGAAGGCCTCACCTTGATTTCAGCATCAGAAAATGAAATCAATCAGTAGAATGGGATTGACCAGCTGGGCAGACCAGTTGAGACCAGATAACTATTGAGAGATTCAAAGTCATCTAGGCAGATGGACAGCACAGCCAGGTTGCTATGACAGCCTGAAGAATCTGGCACTACAGCCAGGCACTGACGACTTAGGCCTGTAATTCTAGCTACTCAGGAGGCTGAGATCTGAGAATCACAATTTGAAGCCAGCCTGAGAAGGAATGTCCATGAGACTCTTATCTCCAATGAATTACCAATAAAGCCAAAATGAAGCTATGGCACAAGAGGTAGAGTGCTAGCCCTGAGCAAAAAAAGTCAGGGACAGCCAGGCACTGGTGTAATCCTAGCCTGTAATCCTAGCTACTCAGGAGGCTGGGATGTGAGGATCCAGCCAGGACAGGAAAGTCTGTGAGACTCTTAGCTCCAATTAACCATTAGAAAACAGGAAGTGGCACTGTGGGTCAAAGTGGTAGAGGCCCTAGCCTTACGCAAAAAGAACTCAGGACAGCACTTAGGCCCCGAGATCGAGCCTCATGACAAAAATAAACAAAAACCCTCAGGGATAGCAACCATGCCCTGAGTTTAAGCCCCATTACTGGCACAAAACAAAGGTATCAATGACTTATGTCTCCAAAGGTAGCTGTTCAGAAGGCTGAGATCTAAGGACCAAGGTTTGAAAACAGCCCAGGTAAAAAAAAAGTTTCTAAGACTCTTATCTCTAACCACCAAAGAGCCAAAAAATAGAGGTGTGGTTCAAGTAGCAGAGTGCCAAGCCTTGAGAGAAAAAGGTAAGCAGGAGCAAGGTAAGCAAAAGCAGCTTGAAGCTACTAGTTCAAATCCCAGTACTGGCATTAAAAGAAAAAAAAAATGACTAAGCCACTGTGTCTGGCACTGATGGCAATCCTTACTACTCAGAAGGTCTAAGATGTGAGGATCAAAGTTTGAAGTCAGCCTGGACAGGAAAGTCTGTGAGGCTTTTCTTTCTTTCTTTCTTTCTCTCTTTCTTTTTTTTTTTTTTGTTGGTCATGGGGCCTGAACTCTGGGCCTGGGCGCTGTCCCTCAGCTATTTAGCTCAAGGCTAGCACTCTACCATTTGCCATTTCCAGTATTTTTTGCTTATGTGGTACTGAGGAAGCAAACCCAGGGCCTCATGCATGCAAGGCAAGCACTCTACCACTGAGCCACCTTCCCAGCCCTCTTTTTTTAATTAAATTCCCAAAAGCAAGAAGTGGAGCACGACTCAACACAGATAGAGTGTTAGCCTTGAGCAAAAGAGCTCAGGTACAGTGCTCAGGCCCTGAGTTCAACACCCAAGACCAGCCAAGGAACAAAAAAAAAAAAAAAAAAAAGCAAAAAACTGGGCTGGGAAGGTGGCTTAGTGGTAGAGTGCTTGCTTTAGCATGCCTGAGGCCCTGGGTTTGATTCCTCAGCACCACCTAAGCAGAAAAAGCCAGAAGTGGCGCTATGGTTCAAGTGGTCGAGCACTAGCCTTGAGCTGAAGAGCTGAGGGACAGCGCCCAGGCCCAGAGTTCAAGCCCCATGACTGGCCAAAAAAACAAACAAACAAATAAAAAACTTCTATGAAATTACCTCTGAAGCTGAGCTGGGGAACCTGAAAAGGTTTGAGAGGTTGGAACATGGCCTGCACAGCACTTGAAATGCTTAGAGCTGGCCATGGAAGGGTTAAAACAGACAGCTCGGGAAAGGGTGAAAAGACTAGATTGCTATTCACCCCTAGCAGCTATGCTGGGGGACCTTGTAGGCTGGATGAAAGACCTTGACAGTTTAACCTTGGGCTAGATAAGTGGGCATCATGTCTGGGCTTTCCCTAGGCTGCAGTCTCCTGTCTCAAAAAAAGTAAGGGGGGGGGGGACCTGGGAATTTGGCTTAGTGGTAGAGTGTTTGCCTAGCATGCATGAAGCCCTGGGTTCGATTCTTCAGTACCACATAAATAGAAAAGGCTGGAAGTGGCACAGTGGCTCAAGTGGTGGAGTACTAGCTTTGAGCAAAAGCAGTTCAGGGACAGTGCCTAGGCCCTGAGTTCAAGCTGCAGGACTGGCATAAATAAATAAACAAACAAACAAATAAATAAGGGAACCAATGTCTGTCACAAAATGTTTTAGCTCTGATTGTAATATTAATATAGATTTTTGCATGTATTCATAGTAACCTTCCCTATGTAAACTCAAATATGCTGTCTTGTGGGGACTTGGGGCCCAAGTACAGGTGAGCTTGGGACCCCTGGTTCCCCCCCCCCCATCTCTCTATGTCTCTGTACTGCCTACAGTTGCAATCAGCAACACTTCTGAAACAATTTAGCTTATTAGGCTGCTCTTGGATACTGCCTGCCTTAGAGTCAGAGGCCAGGCACAGGAGCTGAGGTGAGGCTAACTGGCTGGTTAGTAAAAAAGATAAGGACCATCTTAATCCTCTCCTTCTGTCTTTTTTTTTTGGTCGGTCATAGGGCCTTAACTCTGGGCGCTGTCCCTCAGCTCTTCAGCTCAAGGCTAGCGCTCTACCACTTGAGCCACAGCGCCACTTCCAGCTTTTTTCTTTTTGCTTATGTGGTGCTGAGGAATCGAACCCAGGGCCTCAGGCATGCAAGGCAAGCGCTCTACCACTGAGCCACCTTCCCGGCCCCCTCTCCTTCTGTCTTTACTTCCTCTTTCATGTGTTGCCAAAGGGATCCGTGTTTTAAGCTCTACTCACAAAATGAATGAGCCAGTGCTTGCACACATGCGTACACATTCATAACCACAAGTGATAAGAAATACCTTGAAAGAAATCACAAACACTCCTTCTGTTTCACTTCCGTACTGCTGAATGGCTTCTTCATCTTCCGTCACCATAACGACCGGCATCCTGTCCTGGCAGTGGTGATAGTACCAGACAGCCGCGTTGTAGATGCTCCTGAGAGGCAAAGCACAGTGAGCTCCCCACTGGCACAATACGTACACACAAACACATGTGTACTGACACATTAAACACTTTAGTATTAATTATAGTTGTAGAATAATCTAGATCCACTGGTAAAGAGCCAACAATAAGGAACTGTGGAAGGGTCCCCCGGGGCCCACCTGGTCTGCCACTTCTCCATGGGCTCCCCTCCTTCCCGAGGAAGATAGCAGTGCTGCTGGAATTCATTAGCGAACAAAATGCAATCATGGCGTGCATCCTTCAGTAGGTTTCGCAATTTGTTATACTGTCTGCAACACAGAGGGGAAGAATAAATCTAACAACACAGGTACTGATCTGCCACTTTCTCCTAAGAATCAAGAAAAAGAAAAAAGAGATATTTTAGAGCAAAAGATGGACTGTTTAAAGCCTGGGAAATGTCCCAGCATTCCAAGTCTGAGGAACGAGGATCAAGAGTTCCAGGCTAGTCTGGTGCCAGTGGCTCATGCCTTTAATCCTAGCTACTCAGGAGGATGATATCCAAGGATCCAGATTCTTGCCTGGGCAAGAAAGCCCATGAGACATTTATCTCCAATTAACCACCAAAAAAGTTTGTAGTGGAGCTGTGGTTTGAGTGGTAGAGTGCCAGCTTTGAGTGGAAAAAACCAAATGAGATCATGAGGATCTGACGTTAAGCCCCAGTACCAGGGCCAAAAAAGAAAAAAGAAAAACAAGTCTCTGAGCAAACTGTGATAGTCTCAGGATCCAGTGGAGGTCTCAGGACCTCGCCTTCACTTTAGACCCAGAGGTTCTCACGTCTACCTGTTTCCCCAGATAAAGATGAGATACAAAACCAGGAAACTAGAGTCAGGCGCTGGTGGCTCACACCTATAATCCTAGCTACTCAGGAATCTGAGATCTGAGGATCACAGTTCAAAGCCGGTCCAGGAAAGAAAGTCTGTGAGATTCTTATCTCCAATTAATCACAGAAAACAACAGAAGTGGAGCTGTGGTTCTAGTGGTAGAGTGTTAGCCTTGAGCAAAAAAAGCTCAGGGCCTGGGAAGGTGGCTCAGTGGTAGAGCGCTTGCCTTGCATGCCTGAGGCCCTGGGTTTGATTCCTCAGCACCACATAAGCAAAAAGAAAAAAGCCAGAAGTGGCACTGTGGCTCAAGTGGTAGAGCGCTAGCCTTGAGCTGAAGAGCTGAGGGACAGCGCCCAGGCCCAGAGTTCAGGCCCCACCACCGGACCCAAAAAAAAAAAAAAAAAGCTCAGGTCCAGAGTTCAAACCCCAGGACCAGCTCTCAGCAAAACAAAACAAAAAACAAAACAGTAAACCGCTCCAAATCAGAGTAAGAATAAACAAACCTTCCTAAACTTTAGGAAACTCGCTAAGTTAACAAATGACAACAAAAAAAGAATTTTGTAAATTTATTAAGCTTTACTCCCATCTATTCTTTTCAGCGGATGCAGTCATTTGTCAGCTACTATCAGCAGATAAAACAAATGAACAAATGGCCAGAGAATACTGATTGGCAAAGCAGGAATGTAGCAATCACTCCTAGCAAGACAGTCAGGTTTGCTTGCAGACGTGTGGGATTGGGGCTGTAATTTAATACCGAACAATACAATAGAGTTGTATTTCCTGCTAGTCAGTCTTTGGAGCTTATGACAGAATTAGACAGATGAGCATGCTGTGTGGAGTCAGCAGAGCATCATGGATCCTTGAACAAGCCCGACAGGAATGATGGGGGAGCAATAGTTTACTAAGTCAAGTGCAATATAAAATATCAGAAGTTTTAAATATTCCAGTCTTACTTAGACAGGCTTAGATATTTTGCAAACTTCATCATCTAAATATTTCAATTTCTTGGAGACAGCTAAACTTACTTCTATTTATTCAATTAATTAATTAATTTTTTGGTGCTGGTCCTTGGACTTGAACTTAGGTCTGAGCACTTTCCCTGAGCTTTATTTCCTCAAGGCTAGAGCTCTACTACTTGAGCCATTTCTGTTTCCAGCTTTGTGTGTATGTGTGTTTGTGTGTGTACACGTGTGTACATGTGTTTGCTGGTCCTGGGACTTGAACTCAGGGCCTGGATGCTGTTCTTGAACTTTTTTTTTTTTTTTTGGTCAGTTGTGGGGCTTACACTCTGGGCCTGGGCACTGTCCCTGCGCTCTTCAGCTCAAGGCGAGTGCTCTACCACTTGAGCCACAACGCCACTTCCAGTTTTCTAGTGGTTTATTGGAGATAAGAGTCTCACAGACTTTCCAGCCCGGGCTGGCTTTGAACAGTGATCCTCAGATCTCAGCCTCCAGAGTAGCTAGGATTACAGAAGTGAGCCACCATACCCGGCTCTCTGAGCTTCTTTTGCTCAAGGCTAGCACTCTACCACTTGAGCCACACCTCCACTTTCTGCTTTTTGGTGCTTAATTAGAGATAAGAGTCTTGGGCTGGGAAGGTGGCTCAGTGGTAGAGTGCTTGTCTAGCATGCATGAAGCCCTGGGTTTGATTCCTCAGTACCACATACACAGAAAAAGCCAGAAGTGACGCCGTAGTGGAGCTGTGGTTTGAGTGGTAGAGTGTTAGCTTTGAGTGGAAAAAGCCATACTGTGGCTCAAATGTTGGAATGTTAGCTTTGAGCAAAAGAAGTTCAGGGACAGTGCCTACGCCCTGAGTTGAAGCCCCGGGACTGGCCATAAATAAATAAATAAATAAAGAGTCTCACAGACTTTCCTGCCTGGGCTGACTATGAACCTTGATCCTCAGATCTCAGTCTCCCAATTAGGATTACAGGTGTAAGCCAATGGAGCCATGATTTGAGTGTATCCCTTGGACAATAGGTTGAAATTTAAGGTAATCCAATCCTGTTCTGAAGTGTGGTCTTTATTTGATGCTGGTAGTTCACACCTGTAATCCTAAGTACTCAGGAGGCTGAAATCTGAGATCATGGTTTGAAGCCAGCCCAGGTAGAAAAGTCAGTGAGACTTCTCTCCACTTCACCAGCAAAATGCTGGAAATGGAGGTATGGCTCAAGTGGTAGAGCACCTACCTTGAGCAAAATATAAAATGAGAACACGAGGGCTTTAGTTCAAGCCTTAGAACTAGCAGACACAAAATGAAGTAAGGAAGGAAGGGAGAGAGGGAGGGAAAAGTGGGGTCTTGGGAAGATGGTTAGTATTAGACAAGGTTGACAGGGTATAGACCCCCCCACCCCCACCACACTTTGTTTTGGATTATTGGTGATTTAGTAAGACAGAGGCCAGAAGATACACATATATATAATCTTTCTCTTGCCAGGTGGCATGGAACTCAGTCAACTAGAAGATGTGAACTTTTTTTTTTTTTTTTGGTCGGTCATAGGGCTTGATCTCTGGGCCTGGGCACTGTCCTTCAGCTCTTCAGCTCAAGGCTAGTGCTCTACCACATGAGCTACAGCGCCACTTCCAGTTTTCTGGTGGATTACTGGAGATAACAGTTTCACCGACTTTCCTGCCCAGGCTGGCTTTGAACCTCGATCCTCAGATCTCAGCTTCCTGAGTAGCTAGGATTATAGGCGTGAGCCACCAGCGCCCAGCCAGATGTGAACCTTTAACCTTGGACCTCCAGAATCATGAGTTAAAAGAAATTTCTTCTTCTTCTTTTTTTTTTTTTTGGTGGTTGTGGGGCTTGAACTCTGGGCCTGGGCGCTGTCCCTGAACTCTTCACCTCAAGGCTCAAGGCTAGTGTTCCACCACTTTGAGCCACAGTGCCACTTCCAGCTTTCTGGTGGTTAATTAGAGGTAAGAGTCTCATGGACTTTCCTGCCTGGGCTGGCTTCGAACCGCAATCTTCAGATCCCAGCCTCCTGAATAACTAGGATTACAGGCATGAGCGTCCAGTCCACCAGTGCATTGGGCCTTTGAAGTCATCCAGAGATTTTTTTTTTTTTTATCATGGGGTTTGAACTCAGGGCTTGGGCTCTGTCCTTGAGTTTATGTGTTCAAGGTTAGTGCTCTACCACTTTGAGCCACAACCTCACTTCCAGTTTTGGAGTGGTTAATTGGAGATAAAATTCTCATGGACTTTTCTGTCCAACCTGGCTTCAAACCATACACCTCAGATCTCAACCTCTTAGAGATGCATTTGTTTTCTTTTGTGTCAGTACTGGGTCTTAAATTTAGGGCCTCTAGTTCTAGCTTAGCTTTAGTCACTCAAAGCTGGCACTTTACTACTTGAGCCATACCTCCACTTCCAGCTTTTTGCTGGCTAACTGAAGGTAAGAGTCTCATGGACTTTCCTACATGGGCTGGCTGTGAAATGAGATCCTCAGATTTCAGCCTCCCGGATTAGCCACCAGGACATTGCTGGTTCACATTTAATTTCCTCCATAAGGCTATTGAGTCTTCTTCAGTGTCTTCTTGTCTCTGGCATCTAATCCCAACCAGAAAACAGGCTTGTGGCAAGAAGGCTTCCTTTTGTTTGTCAAGGCCTAGGACTCGGAGTTCAAAAAAAATCCAATGGATGGGGCTGGGAAGGTGGCTCAGTGGTAGAGCGCTTGCCTTGCATGCTCGAGGCCCTGGGTTCGATTCCTCAGCACCACATAAGCAAAAAGAAAAAAGCCAGAAGTGGCGCTGTGGCTCAAGTGGTAGCACCACATAAGCAAAACGAAAAAAGCCAGAAGTGGCGCTGTGGCTCAAGTGGTAGAGCGCTCGCCTTGAGCTGAAGAGCTGAGGGACAGTGCCCAGGCCCAGAGTTCAAGCCACATGACCGGACCAAAAAAAAAAAAAAAAAAATCCAATGGAAACCACAGCAGTAGCTTGAGCGTAAGTCATATACCTCCTTGTGTTTTGTTTTCTAATCTAGTATATCCACAGACAGGGCCCAGCTCTGGAAAGCCAATTGTTTTTCAAGCTAACTACTTTAGAAATGAACAGGAGGGGGAAAAAAAATACATTTAAATTCCAATTCTTTGCCTTTTGAATGTGTCAGGAATTTTTTTTAAACAATCCTTTGCATTAAAAATACTTTAGAAAACAGAAGTTGAAAAGGCTATACCAGCAGCAATCCAAAAGATGATAATGAATTGATTTTTAGGAGCAGAAATTGAAATACTACAACACCGAGAGCAACATTTTACTGCAGAGAGGGGCAAGCATCTATATCTTTGTGTCCGAGAAAAATCAACTGCAAGCTCATTTTAAAATATTCTATCTGAAAAAAAAACTTATATGCAATCCAGTTAATGTACATTTCTTTGAACTGAGTGTATCATAAGGACATTTTGTCATTTTCATATACAAATAAAAACACTTTGTTGCTACCAAGGTCTTGAGGAAATCATAACACTTAAAATAAATATATAGTGCCTGCTTATTAAATAACCTAGGATGTGTAGAGATGAGGTATATATATATATATATGTATATGTATATGTATATGTATACACACACATATATAGATATAATTCTAAAATACTATTTCCAAACAGTTTTAAGTGCAAAAATCACAAAACCTTTGCTAATACTAAGTGAAGCAAAACTGTACTTTAGAGTATTTATATAAAAGCATGGTGGCCATCCTTCACTTAAGTACAAGGTAAGTATTTTCAACTGTTTCGATTAGAAATGTTTTACTATGCTAGTAATTCTACTAGTCACCTAAAAAAGCAAAGTAAGTTATTTCCAATTTCATTGAATCAACCTTTAGAAATACAATATGCATTCACAATAGAGGAACCTAAGATTTAAAAGTATTTTTTTTCCAAGAACAGAAGGTATATTCTGAAACAACCTATCTACAATTAAAAAGATTAAATAATACACATTATCAGCAAAAGCAAAAACAAAATTGAAAGCAATAATCCTTCTCCCATAAAAATGCAAATCAAAAGGCAACTCACACTAGTGTCTAAATATCTACATAGAGGACACAATGCAGTCCATTGATCTACAGTCAGCTCTGTTAGCCAGATGTTGAAGCACAAGTATAAAATGCTACTGCATTCCTCACTAGCAAAGAGAATACCAAAGTAGTTTCTAAAATCCTTTAGGAGAAATGAATGCCTTCCCTCCCCTCCTCCAACAATGGATCTTCTCTAAAGAGGGGAAAAAGTGTATTATAAATAAAGAATGCAGCTGGGTACTGGTGGCTTATGCCTGTAATCCTACCTACTCAGGAGGCTGAGATCTGAGGATTGTGGTTGGAAGCCAGCCAGGGAAGAAGAGTCCCCATTAGACTCTTCAATTACCCACTCAAAAACTGGAGGTGGTGCTGTGGCTCATGTGGTAGAGCGCTAGCCTTGAGCATAAAATAGGCTCAGGGATTTACCCAGGCCCTGAGTTCAAGCCCCATGACTGACATAAATAATAAATAAATTAATAAATAAAGCAAAACACATACCTCCGGCCCCTTTGATGTTGCACAGCTTGACAAGCTGTTTGCATGAAGATAATTCCCTTCAACTCCAGAAACTCTAGGATCTCAAGGTAATCTTGAACAACTTTCCAGTCTGGGATTACATAATGAGTCACATCACTACTCAACAGCTTCCCATCTGAAATGTAATTCAAAATGAGAGCAATTAGGTAACAATTTCAAAGCCAACTTTCCACTTCAGTGTTATGGCAGGCTGGTGTCCAGAATAATTGCCTATTTTCACTCTACCTTGAAGCTTTGGATAGGCAAAGACAGACTTTGGTCAAGGAGCAAAATTCAGGGGAAATCCACTTATTTGTTTTATTCTATTCTACTGATATTGGGGGCTTGAACTCAGGGCCTCATGCTCTTAGTTGGCCTTTTCGCTCAAGGGCAATCCTTTACCAGTTGAGTCACAGATCCACTTCCAGCTTTTTTTGGTGCTTAATTGGAAATAAAGAGTCTCAAATTTTTTTTTTTTTTTTTTTTGTCGGTCGTGGGGCTTGAACTCTGGGCCTGGGCGCTGTCCCTCAGCTCTTCAGCTCAAGGCTAGCGCTCTACCACTTGAGCCACAGCACCACTTCCGGTTTTCTGGTGGTTTATTCAAGATAGGAGTCTCACGGTCTCTCCTGCCTGGGCTGGCTTTGAACCTCGATCCTCAGATCTCAGCCTCCTGAGTAGCTAGGATTACAGGCGTGAGCCACCAGCGCCCGGCTGTCAAATTTTTTTACCAGGCTGGCTTCAACCTGCGGTCCTTAGATTTCAGACTCTTCTTTTTTATGAAGCTGTGATAAATACAAATTCAACATGGTTTATGGTGCTGCCAGTGGTGCAGGAAAGTATGACTGATATTTTAAAAACAGACAAGTACATTTTCAGCATGAGTTGAGTATTTCTGGGTTAATCTATCACTTGCATACTTACTCAATTCAAATGCATGTGTGTGTTAACCACTCGGTGTGTTCTCTGGGGTTTCAAGCTATGCACATACTCAGAGGTCCGAGGCCCAGAAGACTAGAACTGACTAGAAAGGGCATTCAGTATGCACAAGCAATGGACAGTGCGGTTTCCATCTAGCTGAGAGCTACTCAGCCAAGCTGTAATTGAAACAGTAGCCACGTTGTACCCCTAACCAACAGTAGAAGGCTCCAAAGCTGAGCTCACCCTCCCACCGAAGGGAAGGGTCAGTACCCTTCCCTCACTTACAGGGCACCCTGAGCAGGGCACCAGTGGCTCAAGCCTACAATCCTAGCTACTCAGGTGGATGAGATGTGCCAGCAGTTCGAAACCAGCCCTGGAAGGATGATTGACCAGCAAAAAAGCTGGAGGTAAAGATGTGGCTCAAATGGTAGAGCACCAGCCTTGAGTGGAAAAAGCTCTCGGACAAGGCCCAGGCTCGGAATTCAAACCTCAGTACTGTCACACACACTAATAATAATAAAAATAGAATAAAATAAAAAGGGGCCCCCTAACAGCCCCTCTCCATTCCAAAGTTCCCCAGGACGTTTGTACAAGGAGGGCCCAGATCACTCCCAGATCCTACGATGGGGCGCCATTAAGTGTTGGAGCTCTAGCAGGGGTGCAAATTTGGGGGAAGCAAGCAAGTGCCCACTAGGGAGCGAGCTCGTGCACCCCCCCCCCCGGGTCTCCCCAATTCGCCGAGCAAGCTGCGGGAGGCTCCCCCAACCTGCGGAGAACCCCAACCCAGGGCGGGGAGGCAGCGGGTGCCAGTGTCACTGGCCGCTCCGCAGCAAGGCGGGGCGAGCGGAGAGGCGGCGGCGGAGGGCGGAAGGGGGTGGGAGACCCGGAAGCCGCAGCGGCGGCAGAGCTGGGGGTGGGCGCGGCGTCCCCGAGCGGCAGACGCTCGACCTGGGCCACCCCCGCTGCGCTAGGCCGCGGCTCCACGCGCCGAGCCAGGCCGCGGGCTCCGGTCTCCTCCGCAGCGCTAGGCCCCGGCCGTCCCCGCTGGGCCCCAGCCTCCTCCTTCCGCTGCGCCAGGCCGCGGTTCCGTGCGTCGTGCCTGGCCCCGGCCGCCCCCCGCCGGTCTCCGGCCTCCCCCGCTGCGCCAGGCCGCGGCTCCGCGCGTCGTGCCAGGCCCCGGCCGCCCCCCGCCGGTCTCCGGCCTCCCCCGCTGCGCCAGGCCGCGGCTCCGCGCGTCGTGCCAGGCCCCGGCCGCTCCCCCGCCCCGTGCGCCCCGGCCCTGACCGTTGCGGCAGGCGGAGGGCTGCGGGCAGAGCGGGCTGTGGCACGGCACGCGGGGCCGCAGGTAGTGCTCGCGCACGATCCGCAGCGTCCGGCCCTGGAAGGTCTTCAGCAGCAGCACCTTCTCCTGCTTCTGCAGCATGGTGGCCGGCGCTGGGCCCCGCCGCCCCGGGCTCCCGGGACGCGGCGGGCGGTGGCGAGGCCGCGGCGGAGGCTTGGGACCCGCCCCTCCGCCCCGGGCCTCCGGAACCCGCGCCTAACGGCTGCGCCCGCCCGAGAGCCCCGACCCTCCCTCCCCGCCCGGGTCCGGGGAAGGGCGGAATCAATGCATCTACTCAAGAGGCTGAGATCTGAGGATCGCGGGTTCGAAGCCAGTGTAAGCAGGAAAGTTGGTGAGACTTTCATCTGTTAACCAGCCAAAAGGCAGACGTGGCGCTGTGGCTCACCGTGGTAGAGCGCCAGCCCAGAGCAGAAAGCCCAGGGACAGCGCCCAGGCCCTGAGTTCGAGTCCCACGACCGACACAGAGACAACAAGGTGAAAGGCTGACCTAGAAAGAGGTTTGGTACAACTTTGCAGGATGAACACATGGATGCTTTGTTCCCGTGCCCCAGTTTAATCTAGGGGTAGTTAGTAGAGTTTTCGGTTCCTGGCTCGTGTTCTTTCTGAAAGAGCTGCCAGATTCAGCAAATCAGCCAGCAAACCGTGCCCACCAGTCCTTTGCCCCTTCAAAATGTACTTAAATGTATTAAACATGTTTATCCGTGTAACATTGAGAGGCTGCAGATTAAAAACAAACTAAAAACAGCCCCTCTCCTGGAGATAAAAACCACTGTTCAACCACAAGCTGTATATCATTTGCAAAGGGATTCAAAAGAAACATAGCTAGGCCAGGAGCCAGTGGTTCACACCCATAAGCCTAACTACTCAGGTGGCCCAAGCCAGTTGGGGCAGGAAAGTCTGTAACTTTGTTTTTTTAATTGGTAGTAGGACTTGAACTCAGGGCCTGGGCTTGAACTCGAGGCCTGGGCGCTGTCCCTGAGGTCTTCAGTTAAAGGCAAGCACTCTACCACTTGAGGCACAGGTTTTCTGGTTTGTTTGTTTTTAATTGGAGGTCAGAATCTCACGGATTTTCCTTCCTGGGCTGGCTTCCAACCGGGATCCTCAGATCTCAGCCTCCTGAATAGCTAGGATTACAGGCCAGAGTCACCAGTGCCTGGCTCTGTGAGATTCTTATCTCCAACTAGCTCTCCCTCCCGCCTTCCCGCCAATGAGATTGGGAGTAGAGTTGTGGCTCAAGTGGTAGAGTACCAATCTTGATTTTTAGAAAAAGTTATGTAAGGCACAATGCCCAGGCCTTAAGTTTAAGTCCCAGTGCCAGCACAAAAATAGTAAAAATAAAATATATCTGGGCACAGGTATAGCTATTCAAGAAGCTGAGATCCAGGGGCTGGGAAGGTGGCTCAGTGGTAGAGTGCTTGCTTTGCATGCATGAGGCCCTGGGTTTGATTCCTCAGCACCACATAAGCAGAAAAAAAAAAAGCTGGAAGTGGCTCTGTGGCTCAAGTGGTAGAGAGCTAGCTTTGAGCTGAAGAGCTGAGGGACAGCGCCCAGGCCCAGAGTTCAGGCCCACTACTGGATCCCCCCACCCCCCACCAAAAAAAAAAAAGAAGCTGAGATCCAGAAGATAGCAGTTTGAAGTCAGTCCCTAGGTTCCATCTCCAATTAACCAGCAGAGAAGCAGGCTGGAGGTGTGGCGCAAATGGTAAAGTGCCAGCCTTGAATAAACAAGCTCAGCAAGGTCCTGATTTCAAACTTCAGTACCCGGTCATAAAGTAGAGTTCTTTCTTGACAAAGACTCAGGATATTCCTAGTGGGTACATCTTGAACTTACAGTTTCCCAAGCACTCAACAAACTCAGTGTAATGGCCTTGCAACATCTAATTTACCACCCTCAATGGAGTGGGGTGTTTGTACACCATTTTACAGATTGTGAGGATGGATTAGGGAGGCTATGGGAGGACAAGCTTTTATGTTGTTAAGCATCAAGATTTCAAGCAAGAATCTGGCTAGACTCAGCAGCTTCTGAACAAATTACCAGGCTACTCAAGATGAATGAAGCACAGTTATGCATCTGAGAAATTTATACTGTACTTGCCAGCCCTAGTTAGGAAACGAGAGTCCAGTGGCATCTTACTCCCTTTCCTTTAAGAAAACACATAAAAAATCCCTGGTCAATACTGGGTGCGGTGGCTCACACTTACTATTCAGGAAGCTGAGATCTGAGGATCATGGGTCGAACCTAGAATGGGCAGGAAAGCCCATGAGACTCTAATCTCCAAGTAATCACCAAAAAGCCACAAGTAGAGCTGTGGTTCACAGTGGTAGAGCACTAGCTTTGAGCACAAAAGTTCAGGGGACAGCACCCAGGCCCTAAATTCAAGCTCCCAGACACACACACACACACACACACACACACAAGTTTCAGAGTCCTCACAGCTCTGCTGATTTTTTTATGTTTTTCTCTACACCATGGTCACTGACAAAACAGGGAGAGAGGCCAGAACCAGTCACAAGGCCATACCCAGCCAGGGGGTGGGCAGGAAGTGCCTTCCACTTCCCTGAGCAACTCTAGGTTGTGAGACTTGAACTCCATACATCACTGATCTCTAATTCTCACAGTACTGTAGTGTAGGATTTCTTTTCTTTCTTTTGTTTTTGGGCCAGTCTTAGGGCTTGAACTCAGAGCGTGGGCCCTGTCCCTTAATTTTTTTTATTCAAGGCTGGCACTTGCTCTATCATTTAAGCCATAGTTCTACTTCCTGGCATTTTGTTGGTTAATTGAAGAGTCTCACAGACTTTCCTGCCCAGGCTGGCTTTGAACCACGATCCTCAGATCTGCCTTCTGAATAGCTAGGATTACAGACATGAGCCTCTGGTTTGGAAATAAACGTGTTGAGAGGCTTCCCCAAGAAAATCACTCATGGGCTGGGAAGGTGGCTCAGTGGTAGAGCGCTTGCCTTGCATGCATGAGGCCCTGGGTTCGATTCTTCAGCACCACATAAGCAAAAAGAAAAAAAAGCCAGAAGTGGCGCTGTGGCTCAAGTGGTAGAGCGCTAGCCTTGAGCTGAAGAGCTGAGGGACAGCGCCCAGGCCCAGAGTTCAGGCCCCACGACCGGACCCAAAAAAAAAAAAAGAAAATCACTGACACATGGTCACATACAAAGGAAAAGGAGTTGTTAAAGTCAGTAACCTGACAGGCTACCCGATGGGCAGGGAGTAGCAGCTGTGTGGGACTATCAACATAGTTTATAGGGCTGGGTTCATGTGAGATGTGAGAAACAGAAACTGCATTGTGGAAGGGTTTAACATTTACAGTTATAGCTGCACAAACAACGGACAGACTGGGTAAGAAGATGGAGGAGATTAGGCTGACACTTCTTACAGCAGCAACCATGACCCTAATACAGCCTCATTTTACAAAGGAGAGACAGGAATTTGTCCAAAAGTTGCTGGACTGTTTGTTCAAAAAGTTCTTTATAGGATTTATATGTCCTGCTGTCATGGCTCAGAGAGTTTTACCCCAGCTTTTGGTTTGTGTTGGTTTTGGTGCCAGTCCTGGGACTTGAACTTAGGGCCTGGGTACTATCCTTGAATTGTTTTGCTCAAGGCTAGTGTTCTACTACTTGGACCCTAGCTTCACTTCTGGCTTTTTTTTTTGTGGTTCTTTGGAGATAAGAGTCTTAAAGACTTTCCTGCTGGGGCTGGCTTTGAACTGTGATCCTCAGATCTCAGCCTCCTGAGTAGCTAGGATTACAGTCTTAAGGCCCTGGACCCACCCCTCACACAGTTTTAAAGGTCACCATCATGTAGCAAGTGGGAGAGGGGTAGTGTTCTGGGATGTCTTATCCTAGCTAGTTGAGGGCAGCAGAGTCACGCTGGGCAGGATGCCTTGTGGCTTGCTTTTCTCCTTAGTTGCTTTTTTCCTTGTCAGTCTCAGAACAGATGGACAACCCATTGCCCAGATAACAGAATGCCCTGACAGCTTTTAGCGCTCTGCTGCCGATGGAAATCTCTGGCTGAGGCTCCCTTTCCCTGGCTCGTGACTTCATGATTTCAATCTCTAGGCTGAGCAGCCGTGTGCTTACACTGCAGGGAGTTTGTAGCATTGACTGCCTTCTTGAAGATGTGTCCTGGGAATGCAGACTTCAGCATTCACATGACTTATAATCAAAGGTCTCACTGAAAGGTTTAACCCAGAAGGGATGGGTTAAGAGAGAGTTGTTGTCAGACACTGTGTACTCATATATTGTTTTGTAGAACTACTTAAAGATAATTAAAAAAAATTTTTTTTAAAAAGGTTTAACCCAGGGGCTGGGAAGTTGGCTCAGTGGTAGAATGCTAGCTTTGCATGCATGAGGCCCTGGGTTCGATTCCTCAGCACCACATAAGCAGAAAAAGCCGAAAATGGCGCTGTGGTTCAAGTGGTAGAGCACTAGCCTTGAGCTGAAGAGCTGAGGGACAGCACCCAGGCCCAGAGTTCAGCCCCCATGACTGACCAAAAACAAACAAACAAACATAAATAATTTAAAAAAAAAAAGGTTTAACCCAGTGGCTCACCCCTGTAATCATAGCTATTCAGGAGGCTGAGATCTGAGGATTGTGGTTCAAAGCTAAGCTGGGCAGACTCTTATTTCTAATTGAAGATCCAGAAGTGGAGCCGTGGCTCAAGTGGTAAAGCACTAGTCTTGAGTAAAAAAATTCAGGGATAGCACCCAGGCTCTGAGTTCAAGCTCTTAAGAGCAGTGCATGCCTGCACTTGCAAGCACGCACGCGCGCACGCACGCACACACACACACACACACACACACACACACAATTAGATGAGCTCCAGGATCTAGAGTGGATTATAGAAGCAAGCTTTGAAATATTCCTTCCCTATTGATTTAAAATTGCAATAAGCATTGTGCTTTTCACACATATTCGAACAACACTAAGAGGATGCCAAATGAAAACATTGAAGTTCCTCTATGATCTAGTAATTTCTCCTGTTGATGGCTTGTATACCTCCTCCAAGTCATTAAAAATAACCTGAAGTTTATAACTCTTTGAAGAGCTTGACAATCTATTTTGTGCCAGCTAATTACAGCTGGTGATTTCCAGTCTTGTATTTAGGGCCCTACTGTTCTTAG